GCAACACGTACTACTTACAATCTGTTCTAAATTGCAGTATCAGTCAAAGTAATCGCAATAAGTTATGTCAAAATCGTACAGCCGTAAAATAAAGACAGGAGATGCTTTTCAATGCTTAACTGACAGTAGGAATATTTCTTTCATACTCACTGACTTTTAAACATGATCGACTTAATTAACATGTAATCTTCTTTTCCATTGTCTCACTGCCAACACACACTCCACACCTGATCACTGGCAGAACCACTTTTTCACTAATGACGTGGAGGTTTTGTGTTGTGTTGTTGTTGGTGCTCAAAGTTCAAATCATTTAAACTTTGACCCCAATCCCTGCTGACCTTTCAAAGCCTGATTAGACTCAAGCTGCAGAAGAAGCTTGAACACAAAGGCAGCATTCAGCTCTCATTAAAGGGTAATAATAGCTTAATTAAAGAATGAATGCACATCAATTGTCTTTGGCATGAACGTAACATCTCTTGTTTATAAAGTAAATGGTTCTTCGCCCAGTGTCACGTGTAGAGAGACTTCAAACAGGTTCAAACCAAAGCTGCACATCACAACACACAGAGAAGAACAGAGGAGATCCAGCAGTGTTTCCCAAGTACAGGTAGCATATGTGAAAATATCTGAATAAAGTATTGTGGAGCTACACACCTAATTAAAAATCCTAGTTTGATCCATATTCTCTTAAAAAACATGATAATTGTAATGTATTTCTTAGTATATTTCCCCCTCTAACATCAAGAATCATATCGCAGTTACAATATCAGTCAAAATAATAGGTTTTTTTTTCAAAACGTCATCACATTCACTGTAATCCTGTCAGGCTAATCTTACTATTTGTGTTTTTTTCTGCATATTTTAGATGGAAAACACTGAGGAAGAGCAGGTCAGAAAAGACAGTGTCTCAAGTGTTAACAGGCGGAAAGAGGAAATGTTAACTTCATCCGAACCGATGAGTTAATTTGCATTTTACTTATAAATGTGCAAATTGGAAACAAATCATCTCCACGCACTACCTCCCTCTGCAGCGCCTCATTGGCTGACTGGCTGGAAGGCCGTGTTCCCATTGGCGGCAAGGAGCTCATCTCCTTCAGCGGCAAGCGTTCGAACTCAGCCCACTTTTTCTCGACGTCATCCTCGGTGCGTAGCCTCTGATTGGATCCCGCGCCGGTGCCCTTCCTGGACAGCACGGCCTCCCATTGGCTGCTGGTGTTCCTCTCCTCTTGCCATTGGCTGTGCTCCCGGCCCTGACCCTCGGCTGCCTCTCTCTGCCCGGCGGGGACGGGAACCGGAGAGAGCTCCACGTAGTCGAACCTGCGGTGAGTGGGAGGAGCAGGGGTCGGGGCTTCTGAGGAAGGGTCGGCGTGACGAGACGACGGGCGGCGGGACGACTGCAGGAAGCGGGAATGAGAGTTCTCCTTATCACTGCTGCCGTCTGGTAATCTGGAGAAGAAGACATACAAACAATAAATCAAGACAAATGGATGAATCAAAACATTATTTCTTATTTTCTGACCTCATGAATCCTGATAATTGGTGCAGGAATGAGTCCTAAATTAGTTAGCATTCATTAGTGTTAAACTCAGAGCCACATTTCATCTTCAACGTGCGATTGCCACAGATCTTATTTTCTGCAATATTCCAACATCCAATATGAAAAATCCCCAAAAATTAATCATCACTGCACCACTCTTTTTATATGAAATAAATAAGTAACTCATCACTTAGTCACCAAGGTTAGCGTAATAGGTGGACAGCATACAAAGCCTCAACATGAACCCTGGAGGCGCAGCTGGCCATGAGTCAGTGCTCCTGGTGGATTCATGAAACTTTCATTCATCTCTGACAGACAAAGTATACAGAGAATTCAACTCTAAGGGTCAAAGCTGTTAATACATATATTAATACAGAGCCTCTTATCTGAATTAGCCCAGCCTGAGCTGGAGCTACACCTCAAGTGAGCGATGCAGGAAGGCTGAGGCGAAGAAATATGCTGCTTTATTACGGCAGGAAGTTGCAACATACAATAACTGTTAGTATTTGAAATGCTTGAGATGGTAAAACCACTTTCTCTCTATGATTACACAACAAAAGCTCCTTATTGTTCTCATACTGCCTGTGCTGCAGCACCTCCTTTCCCCCTCTGTCTGAAACCAGAGCCCAGTCTGCTCTGATTGGTTAGCTGGACGGCTCTGTTGTGATTGGTCAACCGCTTTGAGATGTCCCGCCCCTTAGCCTATCACCTACAATGTGTTGGAGCGCTAGCCAATAGAAGCGTGAGTGTTACATAGTGATGTCACTATGTTCAGGAATTAAACAAAGGAGTCCAATGGAGGCGTTTCAGGCAGGGGGAAATTAGACATTTGGGATTTTAGCCTTTGTAGACCATTTACATGCACAAAAAATCCAAGGGGAAACCAACAAAAAGCATGATAGGGCCTTTTATTCATAAGGCGCTTTCACACCAAGTACTTTGGTGTACTTAGTTCATCAGTACTTATTTCATCAGAACTCTTTAGTTTTGATGAACTAAAGAGCAGATCGCGTTCACACTGGAATAAGTTCCCTGAAGGAAGATTAGTCAAATGAAGCCGCTGACGTCACTTCTTCTTCTTCCTCTGCTTTGGGTTTACTGGCAGGCCGCAAACAACTTCACGGCGTATACTGCCACCCGGAGTCCTCCGGCCGGAAGTCCCCGGAGTTGGGGACTGGCTTCAGGAGAAGCTGCTGGGACTCCCAGCAGCTTCTCCTGAAGCCTTCCGAGTAAATCGCCAGAACGCCGACACCTCCTCATCTCCACCGCTCCCATGTTTTCTTTTGTGTTGCCATAATTTATTCTCTCTCCGTTGGTGTGCGGGACTAATGCTAATGCTAATGCTAGCAAATAAAATGGCGGCTTCACAAAACTTTTCAGAGTTTTACGGGGCGTGGTTTGCAATCCGCCCAGCCAATCAGACATAGGAACCTTTTTCTCCCATGAAAGTCCCTGCTCTCTACAGGGACTGAAAAGGGGGTGGAAAGGTTCTCATGAACTAAATTCTAGTTCCGGCTTTTTTTGGTGTGAACGCACATTTTCAAGAACTATATCGGAACTATACTCCGGTGTGAAAGCGCCTATATTTACTGTGTTTATTTTCATTTTTAACTCATGTGCAATGTCTTTTTTTCAACATTTGAGGTAATATATATTTAAATAAAACCTTTTATATATAATGATTAAACAGGTATTTACTGTGTGAGGTCTGGAGAGCTGCTGGGTCTTATACACTTCTTTAAAACCTCGATCCAATTCCTCCTGATCCCCGCCGTCATGGCCGACAGAGTGTGAGCAGAAGAGTCCCTCGTCTGAGGAACAAAAGAGACAAAGAGAAACAGGTTCAGGAGAAACAAAGATGTGACAGAACTGGGGTGAGAGGGAGAGGATACAGAGAGGAAGAAAGGAGCAGGAGATGTGAGTCATGATAATAAAATAACAAATAAATGCAGGAGAGGAAATGGAGAGCGGGTGTGGTGATAGGAAGACAAAAAGGTGTGAATATAGAAAAATAAATCGGTGTATGAGAGGGATTAAGCTGTAACGGAGACACTCACCTGTACCTGAAACCCATAGTTCTTCTCCACGTCAAACTCACATACTTTCACACACGATTTGAGGTCAATCTCCCCGTCCAGCTCATCTTTCTGTACAGAGAACACAGCAAGGCACGTTTATTTATAAAGCATATTTAAGCAGAAAGGCAATTAAATGTGTGTTACAATTTTTTTTTAAAAAGCATTCAGATATAGTGCAACAGAAACACATTTTAAAAGTCAAGAAAGTACAAATTGAAACAAGATAAATACAGTAATACAAGAATATAAGTTACAATGCAGTGTGAGATTTCTGTGGAGCATGATAGCTAAACGCTGCTTCTCTTAACACTTTCACTCAACATGCCGTTGCGCTTCAAGTGGTCATCAAAGTGTTCATAATAAACATTCAAACAAACCTCCTCTGCACTCGAGTCTCTGTAGTACTTCAATCCAGCGTCAGTCAGAACAAACCAATGCTTCTTCCACTAAAGAAACAAAGAAGATATCAATTCATCCAAGAAATGAGATTTGAGAATGAACTTTTGCACGATAACGCAAATAATAAAGCACTATTACTACTTGATTATCAGAGCAAGACAAATTGGCATTATGGCCCAACCATTTATTAAAGTTTTATAAGTGAAATATATTGTTTTGTTGTGACTATTGATTGACCTAGTTCATCCATACATGTACTTTGTTAAGCCCCCGTCACACTGACTGTCCCGACATTGACACCAGATGGACACACGAATATGGAATTGTGAATTTTCGCACGAAGACGGCCCCGAACTTGGTCAACAGCCAAGCAACAGCCGAAGCAAGTACGATGCCTACAGAAGGCCACACGATGGCACCCGAACCACACACACTCCGTCATGTTGTTTCCATAGCAACAACAACTTCCTGTCAACAGCATAAACTCGCCCTCGATGTCATCGTACTATAATACGATGGCTACACGACGGCATTGCGAGGGCTTCACGTAGTCGTGTTGCCTTCCTAAGACAATCGGGCAGCTTCTTGTTTCCTTCGTATTGTCTTCGTGAGGCGAAAAATGCCCGATGGCACCGATGATCAGATGAAGATGACACGATTTGACAAGATGCTCTCACGAGTGCCTTACGAAGGGCAAAATGGACACACGAATTCAACACGAAAATGAACCTTCGCAAGGTCTTTCGAAAAATGTGTTGGCATGCCAAAGATTTTGCCACCGCTCACGAAGTTGCTGCCTGAGAAACTCCACCGGCGCTCATACGATGGCTTAAGATGCCCTCACGAATGGCCCGATGTTACGATCAGAGCCGAATTTGAACATTTCCTTTATCGTGTGTCCATCTGGTGTCAATTTCGGGACAGTGTGACGCGGGCTTTAGGAAATACAAACCCATATTTTCACATGAATAAAAAAGACGATAAATAAATTACTAATTGTACGCATTAAATCCAACAGCAGTTTTCAATATGAAGGAACAAATATATATAATCTTGTGAATTAAGTATTGTAGTGATGTAGAGATGACTGAGCCTACAAATGGTAATGTACACACTTAAAGAAATGTTTTGTATGAGACATATTCTCTTCAAAACCACACCCACGATCATTTAAAGTATAGTTTCATGAAAATAACAATGCAAAAATGTTCCAATATCATGCATCACTTGCAGTTGCAATGTCAATGAAAACAGTTCAAATGAGGATTATTTTCCAAATTCTTCAGCCCTGGTTTGAAAATGCAACGCCTACAGTAAGGCTGCATATTAACAGCAGTGTGTGATGTGTGTGAGGAGAAGCTCATCATCACTGGAGCTCTCAGAGACAGCTGTTCTGCCTGCAGAGCTGTGAGAATGAGCTGCTATCACCTTACACACAGCCTCTCAGCTAGGAGAGGAAGAGGAGGGGGGAGGGAGGAAGAGGAAGAGGAGGGTGGTGGAGATGGAGGAAGAGGAGAAAGGTGAAGAGGAGGGTGGGGAGTGTGGAGAGGGAGGAAGAGGAGGGTGGTGAAGATGGAGGAAGAGGAGGGTGGTGAAGAGGGAGGAAGAGGAGGGAGGTGAAGATGGAGGAAGAGGAGGGTGGTGAAGATGGAGGAAGATGGAGGAAGAGGAGGGAGGTGAAGATGGAGGAAGAGGGAGGAAGATGAAGAGGGAGGAAGAGGAGGGAGGTGAAGATGGAGGAAGAGGGAGGAAGATGAAGAGGAGGGTGGTGAAGATGGAGGAAGAGGAGGGTGGTGAAGATGGAGGAAGAGGGGGGAGGTGAAGATGGAGGAAGAGGGAGGAAGATGAAGATGGAGGAAGAGGAGGGTGGTGAAGAGGGAGGAAGAGGGAGGAAGAGGAGGGTGGTGAAGATGGAGGAAGAGGGAGGAAGATGAAGATGGAGGAAGAGGAGGGTGGTGAAGAGGGAGGAAGAGGAGGGTGGTGAAGATGGAGGAAGAGGAGGGTGGTGAAGAGGGAGGAAGAGGACGGTGGTGAAGATGGAGGAAGAGGAGGGTGGTGAAGAGGGAGGAAGAGGAGGGTGGTGAAGAGGGAGGAAGAGGAGGGTGGTGAAGAGGGAGGAAGAGGAGGGTGGTGAAGAGGGAGGAAGAGGAGGGTGGTGAAGAGGGAGGAAGAGGAGGGTGGTGAAGATGGAGGAAGAGGAGGGTGGTGAAGAGGGAGGAAGAGGAGGGTGGTGAAGATGGAGGGAGATGAAGATGGAGGAAGATGGAGGAAGAGGATGATATTTGAGTACAATATATGCTCTTACCTCTCCGCTGTCGTCCAGCTTGGACATCCACCCCTTCTTGAAGTTCAGGAGGTCAGGCTGAGGGGAAGCAGGATGTTAGTGACGTCTTCTCCATGTTCATCTTATTTATGACTCGGTTTCAAATAAATCTCATGCTTTTGTATACAGAATAAAAAAGACAAGAGACATGCCTTGAATAAAAACAGTCTTACATATTCAGACGTTTAGAAGCTGATTGCAAGACAGTGATATAAACGTTAGGAAGGAACTGTGCTGTCTTTATCCGTCAAGGTCAGTCATTTGTTTGACCTTTCATCACGAGCAGGCCTCAAAGGATTCACAGAGAGAGGAGACCGAAGCTATCGCAGGGTGGGGCAAACTCAATATAGTTACATCTCTTTACAAGTTAAATAACAGCAACCATAATTCCTTTCTTTATCATTGTTCATGAAGTAAAAAGAGACAATGCTGCGGACATATTCTGCCGCAAAGACCGTAAACCAGTTTCCTCAAAATGTGATGATCCCAGATTAAGATTAGGCAATTTATTCTACACATTTTTTCTGTACATTCCTCACTTCTCTTATCTCTCACTAACATGTACATTCCTCACTTTTTAATCTCTTTCTGAATTCATCATTCCTTTCACTTCCCTCTCTGTTAATGTGATTTCTCTCTCGTCTCTTCCTGGAATAAAACAAGTTAATCTACGCTGCTGCCATGTTAAGGTCTGGTGACTCAATAGACCGTGTAAACTAGCATTATTAAAAATGATCACACACACACACACACACACACACCACACACACACACACACACCCACACACACACACACACACACACACACACACACACACACACACCACACTACACACACACACACACATCACACAACCACAGCACACACACACACACACACACACACACACACACAACACACACACACCTACACACACACACACACACACACACACACACACACACACTACACACACACACACACACACACCACACACACCACACACACACACACACACACACACACACACACACACACACACACACACACACACACACACACACACACACACACACACACACACACACACACACACACACACACACACACTATTAAATTAATCTTCAACTTGTTTAAGTGATTTAGCATTTTGAGCAACTATTAAAGAAATAAAAAGTACAAATTCAACTATTCCAGATTCTTAAATGTTTGTATTTTCAGGTTTTTTATTACAAATGATTACTTAAATATCTTTTAACTTTTATTTTTCACAAAACCCAATTTATCCCGGGAAAATGAAGTATTCGGATTCTGTTTATCAGTGCTTCTCAAAGTGTGGTCCGCGGACCACTGGTGGTCCGTGAGCGCCCCCTAGTGGTCCGTGAGTATATTGGTAACATTTCACATTTTAAATAAATAAGTTAATTTAAGTTTTCCGCACTCTCACGGGAATATCTCCGCAATGGAGCGAGGTTAAGTTTAACTTTCGATTGCATGATATAGCCCAGCGCAACACCTTCGTCACACATGTTGCCACCTGTTTGTACCATTTTCAGGTGATTTGTAATCTGTTCTAGAAAAACGATGTGTTTTTGGATATTTGTGGAGTTAGGTGGTCCGCAAGTGTTTTTTTATTGGTTAAGTGGTCCTTGGTATGAAAAAGTTTGAGAAACACTGCTCTATGACAGTACATATTGGGCTTTGGGAAACTTTAATCAGCATTTTATTTACCAATTTTCTGACTAATTATATATGATATAAAAACTTTACTGTTTTTCAACCAAACACCAACTATTTTGTTTAAAAAAAAAAAATCATAGTTTTGATTGAGTTTCGAGTTGTGGACAAAACAAGAAACTCGATAACGTCATCTACTCTTAGGCTTTGGGAAACACAGATCAGCATTTTGCAGCCTCTTCTGACAAGTCAGCTTTTGGATTATTTGGGAAATAATCCGCAGATTAACCGACAAACACAAGCAGCTCTAATCTCGATTTATAATACAAAAGGAAGCTTGTTTTAGGGACTCTTCTCACAAGATCCTCGCTCAAAGTGCTCGACCACTGGAGCATAATGTGTCAGACTTCATCATGAATTCATGAAATGCTATCCAGTCGATACATGCCCACAGTGAGGTCAGAGAGCGGTTACATGAGCAGGACCCAGGAAGAACAGTCCTGCAGCATCTGCTCTGAATCAACCTGATGCCACAGTGCTTCTTCTGTGTTTTAGAATCCGCGACCTCGCTTTAAAAAGGTCAGCGACAGAGAGAAGAGGGTCAAACTCTGGGGACATTTTGAGACAACGTCCATTCTTTCTGACCCCTATCATCTGACGCTTCAATTCGAAGCAACTTACAAAAAGCGCACTCAACCACGAAGATAGACACTCAAAAAGCAAGAGTCCTACAAGTATATTACATTTCAATATGCCAAAACATTTTAAGTCTTACTGCATTATCTTCAAATAAGCCAAATAATTTCTACTCTGACATGTCTCCATGTTTTAATGTTCAACAAGCTCTTTCTCATACTGCCTGTGCTGCAGCACCTCTTTTCACCCTCTGTCTGAAACCAGAGCCCAGTCTGCTCTGATTGGTTAGCTGGCCGGCTCTGTTGTGATTGATCAACCGCTTAGAGATGTCCCGCCCTTTACCCTATCACGTACAATGTGTTGGAGCTCTAGATAATAGAAGTGTTACATATTGATGTCATGATGTTATGGAAGTAAACAAAGGAGTCCAATGGAGGTTTTTCAGTTGGTGGGTGGAGAGAAACTGTATGGGACGTTTTAGTTTTATCAACTGAAGGGAACACAGGGATTTTAGCCTCTGCAGACCATTTACATGCACAAAATCCTATAACACACTACAGGAAAGGGAAACCCCCCAGAAGCATAATAGGGCCCCTTTAATGCCAGAATGCCTAGTAAAACATGCTGTTTAGTTAAAGTACCTTTCCTAAGCCAATGATACATGTACATGCACTCATTGTGTTGACACATACAGCATTATAACGGTTTGGAGAAGCAATATTTGTTATGTTACTTTGCCAAGAAAGCTTTACCAATGTTTTGACAGCGTCTGTGTGTAAACACGTGTCACAGCTGGCTGTAAAGACTGACACCTAGAGTACAAGCTAACTAATGACTCTTCTGCTACTGTAAACAACACAAGGTGAAGCAACACAGCATGAGTAAATGTACAGCTCATCAGGGTAACTCCACGGAAAACAGACAGAAACATTTCAAGTTAGATATAAATTGCACATCCCTTGAGCCAAATAAACATGTACCAGAAAAGACCATCGAAAGATCTTCAACATAAAAGCAACAACCAAAAAACGGCTAGCTCCTGCAGAGTATATGTGAAGATGTAACGTATATGTAAAGTGTCTGTGTATAAAGAAGTACCTAAGTCTACTGGTTAATTTAAAGGTTCAGATTGTTAGACAAGGTAGATATAAACTCAAACATAGACGTTGGTTTATAGGTAAAGATATTCAGAAGCAGTATATAAAGTGATCTGAAAGACACATTTATATCATAATCCAGTAATTTATATGATTCTGAAATTGGACATAAAGCACAGAGAGTACTTTTCCTATTTATTTTTTTGAGTATGGTTGGATACTTAAAACGACTTTACTTGTAACAGAGTATTTTCCCAATGTACTATTGGCACATTTACTTCAAAGACATATCTGAATACCTCTGTGTGTATAGAGTCATGGAAGAAGTAATTTGCTACAAGTAAAAGTCCTGCATTCAAAATCTTACTTCAGTATAACCACAAAAGTATTAGCTTCAAAATATGTATAAGTACAATTATTTGTTAAGCCTAATGAATGGCCCAATTCAGACTCATATATACAATTGCTGTATTAAAGCTATTCATGCATGAATGTGTTTTTCAAAGCTGGTAGATGTGGAGCTAATTTCAATTACTTTATATATATATGCTGAAAAAAGTAGAATATTTACCACAAGTAAAATCATTTGTTAATCTTAATGGCCCATTCAGACTCATATATCATTATGGTTATCACAGCTGGTAGATGTGGAGCTCATTTTAATGACTTTATACACTGTAAAAAGTAGAATATTGGCTTTTCAAAATGTAGTGGAGTAAAAGTAGCCTACAAAGTAACATACAAATAAAAACGCTCTTTTACAGCTACCTCAACATTGTACTTAAGTAGCTTACAATACATTCAGGAAGGAGTGACAGGAAAAACAGATTTTTTTAAGGTGCAACTTACCGTCATGATAACAGGGTCCAGGGAGGGTAAAATAAAGACAAAAGAAGAGTACCGTTACTTAGGGTAAAAAAAAACTCTTAATCCCACTCCTCGGTTTTTAGAGGGTAAAAACTTCACTTTCTCTCAGGAAACCGACGTTATGCGAAATGAGATAAAACCCCGCCATTCATCCCCATGTTAACAGAATCAAGCGAACCCCCAACCAGCGTCAAAAGCTGAGTCTGTGTCCAGTTTTCAGGGGGAAATACATGGAGAAAACACGGGTTGAATGTTGTTTTAAAAGGTGGTAATTTCACAACTTTTTCAGCTAGTAACACTCCTTTTCTCGGCTTTGTTTTCTCGCTGCCTCCCTCTCTGTGTCTGCCACTTCCTGGGCGGATCCGAGAAGATCGGTTGAGAAAACAAGCGCACCCTACCTAACCACACGGTGCTGTAAACAGAGAAGTACTCACACATTGTACCAAGATATATAGCAGAAATACTGCAGTGCAAACATACTCAGTTACATGAAGAAGTCTTGCATTTAAAATTGTACTGGAGTAAAAGCATTGCTGGTTTGTGGTGAAGTACATTTACTCAAGTCCTGTACTTAATCAGATAGGCCTAAGTAGGTTTTACATGTTGTACTTTTACATTAAGTATTTGTATTTTATGTTACTTTATACTTCTACATTTTGAAAGCCAATATTGTACTTTTTACCCCACTACATGTAGTTGCAGTGTTGTAAAGTAACTAAGTACATTTACTCAAGTACTGTACAACTCTGAGGTAGCTACCTAGGCTACTTGTACTTTACTTGAGTATTTAAATGTTATGCTAAGTTGTACTTCTACTCCACTACAATTCAGAGGTAAATGGTGTACTTTTACTCCACTACATGTATTGAATCCCTTTAGTTACTTTACAGATTTGGATGAATGATGTGAAATATAATCAAGTGTTAAATCAGACTTTTCCACCTGGAGTAAATTCACAAGCTACCCTGCAGTATACAAAGTCATTCAAACTAGCTGCACCTTTACCAGCTTTGATAACACTTTATTTACTTTACAATTAAATATGGCTAATTTTACACAAGTGAAATATTATAGTACTTCTTTCTCCACGGAGTAAAAGTAAAAAAAAATCAGCATTAAAATATACTGTAAGTACCAAAAGTAAAAGTACCTTTTTGTATTATCGCACATTTCAGAATCGTATATATTTTAATTATTGTATTCAAATTATTGATGCAATAATGTGTTCATCACTTAAATGTTGCACATATTTGATTTACGATATACTGCTGGATAGCTTAATAATATATAATAATGTATTCGTTTTTTTACATTTTGTATCATTCGCTTAAATCTGCAAAGTAGCGTGTAACTAAAGAGTTTAAATAAATGTAGTAGAGTCAAAAGTACAACATTTGCTGCAGGTAGAAGAATAAAGTAGAAAAATGTGAAAACACTCAATTGTACTTCAATAACTTTACTAAAGTACAGTAATTAGGTAAATGTACTTAGCTACTTTCCACTACGAGCTATAAAAGCAGTGTTTGGGGGCTGAAGGGGGTCCGGTGGGATCCCCAGCTTCATGAGGTTTAATATTTCTCTGGATAATTACAGCCACAACTGGTTTTTAAAGAAAAAATGTGCAAAAAGTTCTGTTTAATATGAGGTGTCACTCCCCTCCTCTCCTCGGGACCAAACCTCTCCACCTTGACACAAAAAAGTGTAAGTTATCCAAAACTTTCAAAAAAAACAGAACACATTTAAGTGCTGTATTTTTCTGACTGAAAATATTTTGGATTTGCAAACAAAGCAGCACTCCCCCCTCCAAAATCCTCTCTTAGTAGCTATTGGTTTCAGTTCAGGAATTTCAACACATGCCCCAGCAGACCACAATTGACAAAGCTCAGTCAGTCTTATGAAATGCCTGTAGGGTGTAGGTGAAGTCTAAGTAGACATGCAGCCAGCCATTAAAACAGTTCAAATGTAGATACACTGCAGATATGGCAGCCGGTTAGGGTGCCAAGTACATAAACTCTTTACAGTCGTCAACAGGTTCTGTGTGAACGCTCGACAAGCTGCCAGCCTGTCTAGTAAATATGTAACAGAAAGATACCATATATTGAAATAAGAGCGAAGGGCAATAAACTTGTATTGAACCGTATGTGCTCTGGGTTTATTATCTTCATTACAAATATTTGTAATCAGCTGTTACATCGCCCTCCATATGGCATGCTGGGAGACATGATATTTCCACTTACATGCATTACTGTAAACACACTGGTTATATCACATACCTGCATTTGTTCTGATCTGTTGTGGTTACTTTTCCATGAACTTCCCTCATCTGCTGAGGGACTGCCAGACCTCTGAAAGGGAACAGCTTGTAGGTAAGAGGAATCAATTTCCGATTGTGCAAAACAGGGAAGCCTCTGGAGTTTCACATCCACAGACTTTTGTATGTGGATGTGGAAGATGTGGTTAAGCATTAACATGTTATGCAGGTGGAAACAACGCAGCTGCAATGCAACTGCAACTGATTATATCATGCAGGGTTTGTGCACTTTGGGGTCATTCAGCTTAATTTCGAACCCCTTTTATCCTACAGCCACTCTGTCTATGCTTTGAAATTTCATTTCTTTTTTGCATTTGATATTCTCCAAGCAACATTTAGTTTGATCAACTGTAATAACACCTTCTTTGTCCAGACCAGCGTACCTGCAATGATGTGTAGGAGTGAGCCCGGGAAAGATACCCACTGCCACCGTAGTGCCAGTCTCTCTCAGTCTCCCCTGTTTCCTCCCACTCTCTGGAGGGATGCTTGCTAAGGGAATGGCTGGAAAAGCACACAAATGTCATCATCGGTGTGTATAAAAAGGTCAAATGTATTCAATCTATTTGTGTGGAAGAAGCAGAGCCATAGATTAACCACAAGGACATTGGGTTTCATCACCATCAACATATCCTTCATGTTACACAATGTATTGTTAACTGATATGTGTAATGTTAACAAGTGACAAGCGTTTAAAGGGGACATAATATGCACATTTATGTTCAAACTTTTATTTTGGTTTTCTATATATTTTTAGTCCCATTTATGCCAAAGGACTGACAAAGTGAGTTCTTCCAAGAAATTCCCCCCTCAACAGCTCTCATTTCAATCTTTGTGATGTAAAATATGGAAGCCCATTTACGCCAATGTGACTCAAAATAAAGGTCCTATTAGACTTTGTTTGTTAGACTATTGATTAAGTATCTCAAAATGACTTAGTGTCTCCAAATAATGAGCGGTTTTCCTAAAATAATGACAAACTTTCATGAATAATGACTGCCAGGCAATAATTCAGGTCCCTCTTACGTATCTGGAACATCGGCAACATGTACTTTAGTTGTGAACAAGGCATTTCAGGATCTTTTTTTCAATTACAAGGCTATATATTATTTTACTGATGTTAAATGGGCTTCCATAGGTATATAAGTCTGACCTGGCTGGTTTAAAGAGCTCCTGTCTCCGAGAGGGTTGTGGGGTCTGAGGCCGAACCATATGGCTTGGCCCTTCTCTCTGATGGATCATTTTGACCTTCGGCACGTCGGCTAGCATGGCGTACTCCTCCTTGTTCCGTCCTGTGGACCCCGTAGACATCTGGCCCGACTCTGAGGACTCCACGGAGCTTTGAGAGGAGGTATGCCTCCGCAGTTGAATCTGAGGGGATGGAGAAAGGCTTCGTACGCGTTGGAAAGGCTTTTTTTCGATAGGGGAAGGGCGGCGATCCTCATTGCGTCGACCCTCATGGCGGATATCCTCATGAAGGTGATCCTCATTACGACGACTCTCATTACGACGATTCTCATGACGGCGATCCTCATGACGGGGATCCTTATGACGGGGATCCTCATGACGACGATCCTCATGACGACGATTCTCATTACGGGGATCCTCATTTCGGGTATCCTCATGACGGCAATCCTCATTACGACGATTCTCATTACGGGGATCCTCATGAAGGCGATCCGGATGAAGGCGATCCGGATGAAGGCGATCCGGATGAAGGCGATCCTCATGACGGCGATCCTCAAGGCCACGTCTACCAACCCTGGATCTGCCGGGACTCATGGGTTCTTCCAAGGTGACGAAAGTTGTTCTGCTGGCATTTGTGGTCCGCCTGGAGGGAGAAGCAGCACGAGATGCAGAGGAGCTGCGGAGGGAATGAGACGACTCCCGCATGGAGCGTGGTGGGGGATTGGAATCAGATTTTGAGTCATGGTGAGTGTTTTTTCTTTGAAAGGAATGGCTTGAATCTCCATTGGTGGCATTTCTTAGGATTGAGTAGCCCGGTGCGTCACCGTTCCCTATTCTAGTGGGAGAAGAGTTGCGGCTGATGAGATTCTTGCTTTTAAGGGAGCTGCTAGTTTCTGTTTTCCGCAGTGAGGGCTGATCGGGAGGATCATAGCTTTTTCTTGAGGGCAACAAAGTGTGGCTATCACGACTTTTGACAGGACTGTTTACCTCAGACTTGCGCAGCAGGGACTGAGAAGGAGCTTCATAGCTTCTCCGTGAAGGGGAGGAGTTGCGACTTTCACGACTACGGCCACGTAAAGAACTACTGGTGTCTGTTTTCTTAAGTTGGTTCTGAGTAGGGGTTTCATTGCCTCTCCTTCCAGGAGACGAACAACGGCTGTCTCGACCTCGACTACCAACGGCGGGGCTTGAATCAGTCTTACGGAGCGCCAATGGACTTGTGCCATAACCCTGTCTCGTTGGAGACACGACAGGGCTTTCATATTCTTGTTCATTGAGTCCATTCTTAGCTGTTGAGTTACGTAGCAGTACCTGGCTTTCAATATCATATCCTTCTCTTATGGGGGAGCCACAGCGTCCATGGTGACTATGTCCGCTTAGAGACATAATTGATTCAGTTTTGCGAAGAGGGGATTGGCTAGACGAGCTGTAACTTTTTCTTGGTGGTGAGTATTTGTTACTGTCACGCACAGCATCAGAAGATCTCCTAGATGGAGACGAGTTATGACTGTCACGCCCACGTCCTTGAGATGAACTGCTGGTCATTTCAGGTTTTCGAAGAGACATTTGTCCTGAAAGTTTAGAGTCTCTTCTTGAGGGAGGAGAGCTTAAGCTGTCACGCCCTCGACCACTCAAAGACCCATTTCCTTCAGTTCTCCTCAAGGCACTCCTAAAATCTGAAACTGTGCTGGACTGGGATTTGACTGGACCAGCAAATGATTTAAAGTTTCTCGGCAGCGTTCCTGACTCAACACGTTGCCCATTTGTTCCTTGCAAGGTGTTTCTGTACCCTGGCTCTGGCCCTTGTGAACGCCCATCACCATCAAAGTTATGCCTGCTGAGGGAAGCAGTCGACTCACTGCGTTTGAATGGTAGGTTTCCACGTGAGGGAGAAGAAGAGCGGGACTGGAGAGCTGAGCCAGGCCTTGAGGACTCAAAACGTCCTGACTGCTGATAGGAAGAGACTTGAGAAGAAGAGTTTCCCCGGCCATACGAACTGTTGAATCCTTTTCGCCCGGTGGACGCCAGCGACTCTGCTATCTTGAAAGGAGTGGGACTTGGAGAGCGGGGGCCGACTTGTGCCTCAACCTCGACGGAAATGTCATAAGGGTCAGGAGGCAGGATTTCCACATCCAGGTCGTCATTGAAAGTGTCCGGTGCCTGCCTTTCAGAGGCCACACCAAGATTAGGGTTTCTGAATGGGATGGTGTCTTTTGGCTCTATGCTTCTGGTGCTGAAGAGAGGATGTCCTCTCTCAAAATGTCGGTAAGGGGATGTTGGGCTGTGATCCCGGATTGAGCTGACACCCGTTGCCTTTCCCAGGGAGAAGTACCCACTTTCCCGCTTCCCTCCGTCTTCTTTAAACCCTGGAAGAAAATGGATGTCAGGCAGTGTGACAGAAATAGAAACAAGGGGTAAGGGTAACAGAAATAAGAGATGCACACATTAAAGATCAACTACTGACACTAACTGAGCTATATTGTATTACTGGTAATTGCTCTGCGACACCTCAGCTGGTGACATCAAATAGTATTGCCAAGGAAAGAACACCTTTGACTGTAACTTGATATGAATTGGTCAAGTGCTGTAAGTCATAGGTATCCTGACAGCTTCGTCTACTGGTGCGCAGGACTCATACATGTGCCAAGAAATGATTGAAACAATGGGCAAGCGTACCTGATTGACTGCCAAAATTGTCCCTGCTTCGGGCTTCTTCCATCCATGCCCGAGGGTTTGGCCGATGGGGTGGAGGGTCGAGTCGGGTCATCCCGAGTTTGTTCGAACGGCGACGTATCGGCAAGTATTTGTCCTCTGCACTTACTGACTCCTGGTAGTCTCGACAGCTACAAGAAAGACAACAGGTAGAGATTGATCGAGGAGAAAAAGTACAAGACAAAAGAAGGAAAAGGCAACAAATTTGAATGAGTATAGTATGTATTGCATAGGGTAGACCCGCAACATGAACGTTTAAGGTCAGAGAAAATGGCAAACAGAACTAGTACTTAGTACAAACTAAAACAATAAACATCAAAGGTCACCATCCAGTACGCCTACCTGTCAGTGCTGTCGTCGTCACCGTCACAGATATAAAGCTCACAGTCGGGGCTCAGGGTGCAAAAAGAGCTTTCTCCATAACCAACACGGCCTCCGTTGACATCACAGTAGCTGCTCACCACCGACAGAGAGTCTGAATCCTCCTGATAGGATGAAAAGGTTGGACAGGGACCAATCAGCAAACTCAATCTCTCAAGATGAAGAGGAACAGATGGTGTAAGTCTCGTCAGTCGCTGTAACTCCTAACAAAGGCAATGCTTACCAAATGTCAATATGACACTATCTGATGAATGCAAATACTGAAAGTCCCTAATTTCGTCTGTCTGGCTCCATCTTCTTGAGTGCAGGGTTAGCTGTGTCCTTCCCCTCTGTACTCTCTGACACACACTCACATGTTGAGCCTGCCGTTCGATTAGGGTTACACCTCTGTAACTTGACCTGACTCGTGGCTTTCCTCATTAATTTTTCATCCCTTTTTTTCTTGACATAAAGCCTTCTCAAAGCCTTAAGGAGTCTTATAAGGGATCTCAAACTGTGACTTCACTGTCTATAAATGTCAGAAATTGGCATCTGACCCTCGATGAAACTACAGGTGGGCTATCATAGTGGAGCTATTTGGTACAACTAATGTACTAGAACATATTACTGCAACCAGACGAGGGTGGTTGTATCACAGAAGAAGGATAATTAGAAAGAAGTAGAGCTCTGACTCTATTCATTTTTCAAATGAACGTGCCCATCCTTTCTGTGCGTTGCCCCTCCTCTGTCTAAGATTACAAGTGATTCCCAAGAGGGCAGTAAGTGATCCAGCTTCGTTAATTTATAATAGGAGCCACTGCTCTCATTCTACATCTCTGACCTTTTCTTTAATTTACTCACAAGCCACAAAGACTCATACAAGACATGACCTGTGTTTACATGTGGGCTGTGTTAAATGAAAAGGTTCTTAATATCGTTGCAAATTAACGGAATCACTGACTTTTGGGTTAAGTAAGAAGTTATTTGTTTTAATTGATTATTCTCTTTTCCAAATGTTTGAAACCTTGTGCATTATTTCTGATCTACACTACAGGAGAACTTATTCTGTTTCGCCTTGACTTGGTATCTGACCTCATTGTCTTTCTGACCTCACCTGTGACTTCTAATGCACTCACCTTTCTTCAGGTTCAGTTAATCCCATTACTCAGCACGTATTCTAGTCCTGCCATCCCATTTCAACCCTGTTACCTACTCTGTTCACCTTCCTCTCTTCTCTCTTACCTTGCTGCTGGTGTCTCTTTCCTCTGCCTGGGATGCGATCGGTGTTATCGGTGTTAATGCGATCAGCACCGATCCAATCCCAGTGACAGCCCCAGTTTTGGCCCCAATTCCAGTCTCTTTGTTGGGTTTCGGCTGTGGTGCTTCCTCTGCGGCGCTAACTCCTGCTCCGGTGTGCAGGTGCTTCTGGCGCAGGCATTCGTGGCAGCGGGAGGGGTCGAAAATGTTGGGCTGGAACTTGGGGCAAATGGGCTCGTCGTTGGAGATGGGCATGGTGAGTCCGGAGGGGTGAACTGCCCAATCATCGCAACCGAGAGAAAAACTGGGATACAGCAGCAGGGTTGCACAAATAAAACTTCTATGAGTATAAATGAAAGACTTCTGTTAGAAATGTGACTTCACTTGAATCACTTTATATGCCCATGCTGATGCCACATTTCCAGAGCATCTTCCACAACAAAGTGTGAGAAAACACAAGAAAGAGCATGGCTATTATTTATGTTGAGAATAAAAAGAGACCCTGTTTATTTCTGCCTCACTGGACACAGGTGTAATTATAGAGCAGCAGCTGTGAATGAATACTAAAGAGGATGTTTTAGGTCATGGTTCAGTGAAGATCTTAGGCAGAACTGTGCAGGTAGCTGATAACTAATCACTCTGGAAGACAGTGAAAAACAATCCAGCTAGAACACGGTCTAAAGCTCCCCCCAGAATAGTATTACTACTAACTTGCACATGTACTGTAATTTACCATCACTTACAAGCATTTACAAGTAGCACAATCTCTAGAAATTAAAGTCCTATCAAGAAAGCCAAAAGACGGATATTTTTTTTTTATAGAAATTATAAGAATGTATGAGCTTTACCTGACAAGAGGCTCCCGCTATCAGCTCCACTTTGTCATTATGAGTGTGAGGATAAACTACCCATCAGACCCCCATCGGACACATGCCTCCTCTTCCCCATGCTCTCTATCCTTCGAGCTGCCAAACCCTCAAATCAATCCGATTGGCTGATCTGACAATGAGTGAAACTGAGGCACCTGTGGCGGCCATTGTGGCTCTCGGTTAACACAGCAGAGACCCTGACACAGACACTGAAAAAGAGCCAACATGGAGCCAGTGGCCTGCCGGGTTCCTTTTGAGCGGTTGTATTAGATATCATGGGCTTTAGAAAGCGAAATGAAACGCTCATGCTAGTGACAGCTGGCACACGCTGGCTCAGGTTAACGTAAATAAATAAACACAGGTGAGAAGGGGGGTTAACATACATTCACATTGGCTCTGCGCTTCAGAGGTTCTAGAATAAGCTGGTTGGTTCTCCTTTAGATCACAGACACACACAGACACTGCTGAGCTGTGAGGAAACGCACAGCTAAGGGTTGGTTTCCTGATGCTCTGCAGAGGATGTTGACTACAGCGTCAGGTTTCCTATCAAACAATAGAAAGACAAAAATTCCACACGGAGCACACTGACAGTTTGTGCATCACAAGGTCACTTGTTAGCAGTCTTTTATTAGAGAAAATGCAGGTAAATACAGTAAACGTTAAAGAAATGACACTACAAAAACAGTTTTTGCACAGGATTTCAAGAGGCGGGTCAGAACGAACTTGTCCCACAGTGGGCGTCCACATTGGCTTCTGTTTCCACATTTTGCAGAATATACACATCCTGCTCGAACACAGGAGCTTGAATACTTCAAAGTCCATTTTCTTTCTCTACGGGATCCTGACACAAGAAGTCTCTCCACCAGTTCCAACCCTTTCACTCATTTGGATGGTGCAGCTTTTTCCCGGTCAGTCTCCGTCTCTGCCACTTGCCTCTTTTTGTAACCTTCTTTTTACCCTCCGACGAGCCGCTCTTCTTCTCTGTCGCTCGGCCTTTCCTCTTCTGCTTCTTGGCGGTGAACCTGGTGAGCGACTTATTCAGGGAGCGGATCCTGTAGCAGCGGGAGAGAGGAGGAAAAAAAGAAATGCAGCTGGAGTGAGAGAGCAGCTGGAGGAAGACACACAGACAAATGGAAAAAACATCTGAAGAAGGACGTCGTGTCCAGTGTTAATTTCGTCAACGAAAACTATGACGAAAAATGTTCTTTTTTACATAACTAAGACGAGACGATGACGAGTTAAAAATAGATTCTTGATAACGAAAACTATGACAAAATGTATATTTAGTTTTCGTTGACGAGACGGGACTAAGGTGTTAATGGTGGACTATCGGACATTCAAAATGCAGCATATTTTCCCCCAAGTGTCCGTCTTGTCTGTCAAAATGCATCTTACGTTTCTAACTTGCAATAACATTATTTCCGCTCTCTTCACTCCAGAAGAGCGATCTCCCTGTGTCTCTCTGTGTGCGGGGGGCGGGGCCTAACAGACATGCTGCAGCGGACACAGAGATCTGCCGGGGCGTTCAGAGACACATTTTGACTAAAAGTTGACTAAAATGTAATTTTTCATCGACTAAAAGTTGACAAACGTTTTGAGTTTTCGTCGACTAAAACTAGACGAAAACTACGAAGGATAGGAATGACTAAAATGTGACTAAAACTAATAACCATTTTCGTCTAAAGACTAAATCAAAAACAGCTGCCAAAATTAACACTGGTCTTGTCGCCACTGACTCAGACTAAATGTGCATTTATCTGATGTGTTGTACACATTGAATCCGTAAAAAGGTCAAATACTTGCTCTGTTCTCAATTATTCTACCACTATAAATCTATTTTCAAAACGTACAGATGTTCCACTGAGGAAATACACTGTATAATTAAAGTATGGGTAAGAGATGTAATTTGTTGAAGTGCCGACAAATATGAGAATATGTGGCTTCGTTTACTAAGTTTTAAATCTCATATGAAATGCTTAGACATTGTGTTTGTGTAATTATGTTTGGACAAATCGCACCAATGAATCTTTCAGTTTTAAACCAAATTGACTCTCCCCTTTTTAAAGCTTCGTTCTTTCTAAAAACCTTTAAACATGTTGTGTGTGTTAATCACTGTGATCCCCTTTTTTAATTATATTTAATTCATTTGTATGATTTACTCTCTTGTCCTTTGTCCTTTTGTTTGAAAAACACAAGCATTTTCTCTGCATGGCCTTATCTGTAAAACTGAATATAAATAAAACAATGGAAACATATACAGACAAGGTGACAGAGCCCAAAGTGACAACACAATAAAAACCTCATGATGATGAACAGCTTACTTTTTGTTCATGATTGGATTCCCAGATTTTCTTGGCAATGGTCTTCTTTCCTCCCTCAATTCCTCGTCTTCCTCCTTGCCCTCCTTCTTGCCCTCCTCCTTGCCCCCCTCCTTGCCCTCCTCGTCACCCTTGGAAAAGAAAAGATTCTCAGTGTTAGAGGAGTTGTGTTGGCATCAGTATCATTCCCTCTATGGAGCTATACGCAGTTAAACCCGTATACTTGGGCCTGATAAAGAACAGCTGTTCAGATGAATTGAGGCTTTACAGTTTACCTCCGTTTCTGCGGGTCCGAGCAGGTGAGCTCCTGAGAGGTCAAGATCACTGATGGTTGTCACGGTGACGGTGTGGTTGGGGTGATCGTACTGCACAGACTCGGTTGTCGCGGTAATCACATCTTCGAGATCATCCTCCTCGCACTCCTCTGAGAGATTCAATGAAATGAGGAGAAAAATATTCAGTAAATCCAGATTATCAAATCTCTTTAGGTCTTAAAGGTCTCTTAGGGTGCGTTCACACCTGCCTTGTATAGTCCGGTTGAATCGAACCCTGGTGAGTTTAGCCGCTTGGTGCGGTTCATTTGGGTCGGTGTGAACACAGACCGAGACCTCTTAAGTGAACTGAACAACCGGACTCTGGTCCTCTAAAATAGGTGGTCTCGGAAACGCTTGCTTGCGAACTCTGGAGCAGTTCATTGCTGGTGTGAACGCAGTCCGCACCAAAACATAGGAAGCGTAGTATTTACGTGTCACAAGAACGCGGATGTCTTCAAAAAATCTTCAGCGAAAGAGTCTTTCAAGACATTTAGTCTTAGAGTGAAGCAGAATGAGTTAAAGAGTGAAGCAGAATTAAGTGTTGAACAGTGTCGTGTAAAGTAAAAATTCTCCATCAGCTACATAAAAGTAAGAACACCTGTCGTCGGTGAAACGCCCCTCCTTACTGCAGAACGTCTCTCATTATGTTATAATGTTTTTTAACGGACGTTGTCTGATTATATAATCATATGCGCGGGCCGCTAGTGTCTGTTGATCTCCAGATTAACAGCAGCATGAGAATAACCTGCCGAAAGTGCCGATGCTCCATGGCGGAGGCTCCGGTAGAAATTGCAGGGATTTGCGTTTTTACCCCCTTAATGTCTGACCAATGGTTGAACTGCATTTCCGAGCACATGACTTGTGTTTAAAGTTTATAGTCCGTTTGAGTTTTGCCCGTGTGAACGCAAACCGAACCTTCTGAAAAATGAAACAATGTAACAAACTGTGGTCTGGTGCACACCTGAGAAGCGACTATTAGGTGTGAATGCACCCTAATTATACTGTTTCTCCTCAATATATTACAGCTCTCAGATATATACAGAACCTGTCTCTGATTGGCTGAAACACCAAACAGATCATTGCAGCATTACCCATAATCCCCTCTGTTTCAGCCCTGTTTCCAAAGTGCTGATTCTCTGTCTGTTACTTTAGATGAAAATAAGGAGCCCCTCCCCACGCCCCTCTGAGAGACATTTGGTTACAGAGACCTCAATGGTGCTCTAGGAGGAGATTCAGGTGATAAGGGGGGGGGGGTTACCTTGGTTGCTGATTGGCTAATGGTTACACAAGACAAAACATCGTTATGACATCATAAAGTGGCCAAAATCTGATCAGCTCATTTTCAGACAGGTTTTTATAGAAATGGATCAAAAAGAGAGAGAATCTTTGTTCCTGAAACTTTCAGAGTCTCTTTCCACAGAGGGGACACATGTTGATGTAGAAGAGACATGAAGAAGAGGGGACACATGTTGATGTAGAAGAGACATGAAGAAGAGGGGACACATGTTGATGTAGAAGAGACATGAAGAAGAGGGGACACATGTTGATGTAGAAGAGACATGAAGAAGAGGGGACACATGTTGATGTAGAAGAGACATGAAGAAGAGGGGACACATGTTGATGTAGAAGAGACATGAAGAAGAGGGGACACATGTTGATGAAGAAGAGACATGAAGAAGAGGGGACACATGTTGATGTAGAGGAGACATGAAGAAGAGGGGACACATGTTGATGTAGAAGAGACATGAAGAAGAGGGGACACATGTTGATGTAGAAGAGGACATGAAGAAAGAGGGGACACATGTTGATGTAGAGGAGACATGAAGAAGAGGGGACACATGTTGATGTAGAAGAGACATGAAGAAGAGGGACACATGTTGATGTAGAAGAGACATGAAGAAGAGGGACACATGTTGATGTAGAAGAGACATGAAGAAGAGGGGACACATGTTGATGTAGAAGAGACATGAAGAAGAGGGGACACATGTTGATGTAGAAGAGACATGAAGAAGAGGGGACACATGTTGATGTAGAAGAGACATGAAGAAGAGGGGACACATGTTGATGTAGAAGAGACATGAAGAAGAGGGGACACATGTTGATGTAGAAGAGACATGAAGAAGAGGGACACATGTTGATGAAGAAGAGACATGAAGAAGAGGGGACCACATGTTGATGTAGAAGAGACATGAAGAGAGGGGACACATGTTGATGTAGAAGAGACATGAAGAAGAGGGGACACATGTTGATGTAGAAGAGACACGAAGAAGAGGGGACACATGTTGATGTAGAAGAGACATGAAGAAGAGGGGACACATGTTGATGTAGAAGAGACATGAAGAAGAGGGGACACATGTTGATGTAGAAGAGACATGAAGAAGAGGAGACACATGTTGATGTAGAAGAGACATGAAGAAGAGGGAGACACATGTTGATGTAGAAGAGACATGAAGAAGAGGGGACACATGTTGATGTAGAGAGACATGAAGAAGAGGGGACACATGTTGATGTAGAAGAGACATGAAGAAGAGGGGACACATGTTGATGTAGAAGAGACATGAAGAAGAGGGGACACATGTTGATGTAGAAGAGACACGAAGAAGAGGGGACACATGTTGATGTAGAAGAGACGTGAAGAAGAGGGGACACATGTTGATGTAGAAGAGACATGAACAAGTGGATTCTGCATAGGTGACCTTAACTCACCGAGAGCATCTGTCCTCTCCTTCAGCAGCCTTAGGTATTCCTTATGCCTCTGAAAGCAGATAGTCAAACATGTCATCAGTAAATACTTTATTCATTCACAAACAGATTTGAAGCGTGTGCTCTTTTATGTCACACTTACTTCTTCTCGGACTCTGCTCTGCTCCTCCTTGATTTTCTTTTTGATTTCTGCCACGGCTACCTTTCTCCTTTCCACTTTACGTTTATGGAAACCCGTTAGATAGTCTCTGGCAGAAGCAGAAGAAGAAAAACTTAAAGAAACATGTCACCTTTTAAAGTCTCTGCCTGTTTGTGTAGCATAAAATACACGACAGTCATTATAACAAAATCTAAGCTGGACTGGTGTGTTTTTTTTAAAATAATGAAACCTCAAATTCAAACAGTATAATATACACTTTATTCTAGGGGTGCCACAACTGTATTCTTTCATTATATTGACTCTCATTTTTAGTCCATGAAACATAAAAGAAATGGCCATTACAATTTCCAAGAGCCAACACTCTAGTTACTCAAACATATTATTTACAATGATACATAACAAAGAATTTGAGAGTCTGGATTCAGAAAATATTGGACTTTTCTCACAATTTCTGCTTGAACATCATTGAATTAAAAACATATACTAATTCATCAATTGTCAAAATAGTTGCCAATGTGTTTTCTGCTGCTTAAACAACTAATCGATTAAATTACTGATCACACATCATTACTACGAAAATAAAACAGCTTGGAACAACAATACGATGATCAAATTGTTGATATTTCACTGTATACTGAATAGTCTTAAAAATAACTTTTCATAGTGAACTTTCTTTGGTTATAAGTAATCGTTGTTTTGGGAAAAAGCTATATTTTGCATAGATATTTTGATATATTTGCACTTGTTTGCTTCTATTCTGGCATTACAACCTGCACATGTGACATATTGTAGATACCATTGCAATGTGTTACATACTACCACAAATAAATTAGTTAGAAAGCTACTTGTTATTACGTTTGGTACATGAAGGCTAATGCTAATATGCTAGCTAACCTCTGTACTGTGCTAATGCTGCTAATTCACTTACTGTCTGTCGTTGGCGTCAAACGACACGATGCATTTGTTCTCTCTTTTCTTGGATCCGGGCTTAAATTTACCAGTTTTGGCATTATTGTTGTGTTTTTTAAGATTTTTCATGTTGCACACGTGAGTTTAAACTGCGCTACTTCCGGCTTCTGGTTCTGGAAGGTCTATTGGAAATGTCCGACTAGAAACATGTAGTTCGAAGCTCAACGTTCCGCAAGCATTTACGATCTTTTATTTTATATTACTTTATACTTACTTACACAAAACAGAACATTAACATGCTTTATGTGTTTGTTGGTGATACAAACAGGATAATATAATATTCTATAATAATCTAAAACTCTGAAAAATAAGACATAAGACTTCTGTACCTCTACTTTACTAACTTTTTGAATTCAAAGCTTACTTGCAATTAAGTAATATAGGACTATAATAAGTGTAGACATATCTCTCTTTTTTTATATCATTCCTTGTTTAAAGAGTGGCTATTGTTATTGCTATTTTAGATCAAGTCACCCCTATATTTTTAAGTTATAGCCAAAATGAAAATGAATGTGATACCAACACAAATGGGGTCACATCGTTAGTCCTTTTTTTTTATCATGATATAATTATGCTTGCAGCCTTCACCCCTTCATTTCTTAATTTGGTACTTGCACTGTCCCGACTCCTCTGACAACTTTTGTTTTCCACTCCCTCGAGGCAGGGACTCATTATTTCCTCAGGCCTGACACCTCTCTGTGAATTATTGCTAGTGTTTCATTTACACTGAGGTGTCCACTGTTCATCACAGGAAACTAATATATGTGACACAGCAATCATCATATGTGCATTTAAAAAAAGAGTAATAGTGTCGGCCAAAACTAAAAGGTACCATGGGGTCAGATTAGAATTTTCCAAAGGGGGTTCGTTTAGCATGAAACACTTGAAATAACTAAAGGACAAGTTAAAGTAGAAAGAAGGGGAGGTGATAGAAAACTATTTCTGCTAAAAAGTGAGCAATGATTGAGTCGGAGCTAAACATTTCAGTTGTGTGTATCTCACAGTGCACTGTCACTTTTATTCATGTACCTTTGCTTTTAAATGAGTGTTTTTAAATATAATTTCATAATATGTTTCTTAATGCTCTTATGTCTTTCATTTTTGTAAAGCGCTTTGAATTGCCTTGTGTTGAAATGTGCTATATGAATAAACTTGCATTGCCTTGCATATTTACACAACCCACATGTTTAGAGGAAAAGCAAGAACATACTATTTTACGATTTCATATTGTGATAACTTTTACCCTCGTTACACCCATGTTGAAATAGTGATTACACTGTTACACCAGTGTTACACATTTATTACAGTTATTAAACCCATACTGCACCCTCATTAAAATATTATACCCATGTTACTCGAGCCATACTACACCGTGATTACATTGTTATTAAACCCATACTACACCCTCATTAAAATATTATACCCATGTTACTCGAGCCATACTACACTGTGATTACATTGTTATTAAACCCATACTGCACCTATGTAACTATTAAACCCATATTACACATGGACACAGCTTGTCAAATGACTTTATCCCCTAGCCTAGGATACTGAAACTATTTAAAGGTTGAAACCACACAAAGATAACACACACCAGCCACTGTCATGTGTTGTTTTATTACAAAACAAACTTCAAAATGAACACAAAAATTAAGATGGTAAAACATATAAAAGGGGAAAGACAAAACAATTGTAACATGATTATAATAATAGCTGAGCATTGCGTTCTTCTTTGCATACTTTTATCTGCCAAAATACATAATCTAAACTCCTAAACAGTATTTTTTAGGGACTCCTTAGGCTGCTATTTTATATGTTGGGTTTACCAGAGGCCTGTACTACGAAGCTGGTTCAACCTAACCTGTTTGAGTTAGCCGGTTGGCCTAATCCAAAACATACGCGCTCTCGCTAAACTGTACTACGACGCGGGTTATCAAGTGGATCGCTCAAGCCAGCTGTGTCCTATCTAGTTAGGTGCACGTTCACATGAAAGGGGTGGTATTTGGAGCATTCGACCAATCACAAACATGGAGAAGCGTACTGACAGCGCAGCGTCATACTTCCTGAATGAAAAGTAATATTAGTCACATATGAAGAAGTTAAACTTTAAACATCCATGACTTAAACACTTTATCCAGGATAAAAGCCACATAGCTGCACCTGCAAGGTGAATACAGCTGGTAAAAGAACAAGCGTTTGAATGCGTACATTAACAGGTTTATGATATCACTGCCCCGTCTAAGACACGACCTGACTTTAATTCCATTTGACTCGAGTGTTTCGTCAACTTAATGTGTTGCTTAATGTGTTGCTTAAAAGAACACCTTCATGCCGATCTAGATCCCTCCGCTTCGCGTCGGGCTCCTGATCGGCCTGTCGGTGTTCTTTTCCCCATAATGACATTGTCGCTGCACATTATCCCTTACATAGCCTATGATGTGAATGATAATGGGACACATCGACGTCGGCACTCACAGTGCCGCGGACTGTACTTAATGTTACTCTGATCCGGTTACTTATGTTGTGGCAGATATTTAAGTGTAAATGTTATAATAGTCAGATTGCTCTGAAGATGGGAGGGGATATTCTATTAATTTTCACGTTCGCACAGTCAGTTGATTTTTGCCGGCCGTCTTTCCTGCAACGGCAGTTTTTCTGTATTTCCTCTATCCTGTAATATGACTTGATCGCTTTAAACTCCGCACACGGAGCTCTGATTGGTCAGCAGGCGGTGCTTTCACTGACTTGAGCTCTTAGCCTGCAACCTAACCTCCTCCCGTGGAGGTTAGCCGCTCAGCATAAGTTACCATGGAGATCTAGCCTGCTAAAAAGAGAACCAGCGTCTTAGGGCCGGAAACCCCGAGTTTTCCCTGAAGTTAGCCGGCTAAGCGAAAATCCGGCTTCATGGTACAGGCCTCTGGAAGACAGAGTCCTGGGCTAATAGCATACATGCCTGCATTTAAACAAAAATAACGAGTGAGTCTAAAATATCAATTGTTTTCTGCTAGTTTCAATACAATGCTTCCCGTTTGACTTTCCTTCTGACCCGAGGCTGCTTTTATGGAAAATAAAACAACAATAAAAGACTGCTCCCTTCCCCTTGCGCCGGAAAAAAGCATTAATAATAACTTTACATAACCATTAAATAAGAAAAAAAAAAAACAGAACACCGAAACAGGAATGTCTCGTGTAATTACAAATAAAATAAAAAGCATATTGGACAAAGATTTCCTCCATCATCGGGACATGATGAAACATATTAAAATAATTCTTTACATCAAGGCCATTGAGCTTGAGAGCGTCACATCACTTCAAAGAAATACCCTTCCTCACTTTATCACTGTGTTCAGTTCATTCTAGCTCGGACTTTTCTTAAAGTGATACGACGTCTTTTGAGAATCAGACACTCGCTGCCTGTCGGCTCAACGGGGCTTTGAAGAAATGACAATATCGACGTTTTTATGCATTTCTTTTGCAGCTAAAACCATTTTTGAAGCCACAGCTCAATCTGGGCCAAACGTTTTGATCATCCGAACAAATTGTGTGTATTTCAAAGTTCGAGTTTTGATCCTGAACTTTGAAAAACACAATGATGTTTTCATAATAGAAATAAGTATTTGACATATTTTTTTTCTCCGAATGATCAAAACGTATGGCCCAGATTTAGCTCCATACACTTGAAGGCCGCAGCAGGCGAGTGTTTGATAATGAAAAGACGTCTTGGTTGGAGTCTCACTTTAAGGCGGAGGCAGATGACCTTGCTCTACTGTCAGACTGACAGGAAATAAATTCTGAGCCAAATTTGACATTTCTCTGCGCTTTCTTCGATGTGCGTCTCCTCTCAAGCAGAAGTAACAACTTCCTGTTTAATCTACTTCTTCTTCCTTATCTGCTTATGTACAACCTATATACAATCACATTGTGTATGCAATTAATTTAACATATATGCAACTTCTGAAATGTGTGTGTGTGTAGGAATTTCAATTTCCATGTCTGCAAATCCAATTATTCTTCCTGTTTCTTTTCATGTGTTACAGTGTGTTGCAGTTTCTGCCACGGCAAGTCACATTCCTAAGGTGCTGCACTGCTGCACCCTAAAATAAAGCAGCTTTGCAAGGTTTTCAAATAATGCAGCTGCATTGGATTGAAGCATCAAATAGTAACTTAATTCATACCTGGAATCCTACTCCACTTTACAGTGCTGGCATTGTATGAGGTAGATAGGAAGAGACACTACTCAGCACTGTATTGTTTGAAAGCAAGCGATCTACACACCTTCACTCCTCCTCCGCTGTTAAATGAAGCTTGCAAGTTGAATGAGACATTACTGTAGCACTCACATGGTGCCAATAATGATTGTACGGCGTGGGATCCTACAGCTAATCAATGCACCACCGCTACATTGCATTCATTTAAAAAAAAAAAAAACAGCGATTAAATAATGGTCCCTTTTTTACCTCGGGGCCAGTTTAACCTGATTACCCCTCAGCCTCGTTAGAAATGAGCCAGCGTGGTGCCGTTAATGTCCAGAAGGTGGCAGCGTTACTGTAAAACGAAGCATCAAAATGAGACTGTGTGGAGCATAAGTGTTGAAGCTGGGATGTGGATGCAGTGACAGTAAAAGTGTGTGAGAGAAATATCCTAGGTAGAATAACATGTTTATGGAAGAGTAGCCTGGTTTCATCTTTGTACGCATGAACGCTAATGACAGAGTTTAATGTATTGTGAACCACTCTAATATATATGTGTGTGTGTGTGTGTGTGTGTGTGTGTGTGTGTGTGTATAAAAAAAGTCCTTATTTATAGAAATGACTGATAGTTATAGAATGACATGTGGTTCTGGAAGAGTAGCCTGGTTTTAACATTGTATGCATGAACGCAAATTACATATTTGTATTTTGAGCAGCCCTAATGTATGTGTGTGTTCTTGCAGTGTGTGTGTGTGTGTGTTTGTGTGTGTTTGTTTGTGTGAGTGAATAGTCCTTGATTAGTGAATGAGTAACTGTTACCAAATTGCATGTTTGTTATGGAAAGTAGCCTAATGTGTGTGTGTGTTCTTGCAGTGTGTGTGTGTGTGTGTGTGTGTGTGTGTGTGTGTGTGTGTGTGTGTGTGTGTGTGTGTGTGTGTGAGTGTGAGTGTGTTCAGGAGGCAGCGATGGTGGTGCCTCCGCTGAGGCGCAGCAGGATCTGCTGGCAGTCCTGCAGGGTGCGCCGGTCTCCCACCCGCTCCAGGGTGCGCTTGGCCTCGGCCAGCAGGCGGGCGCGGTGCCCGGGTGGAGTCAGCAGCGGCATGGGGAGGTGGCGGCAGGCCAGCAGGATGGCGTGAGCCCTCTCTCTCTCTCCCAGGACTCCCTCTGAGGGGGGAGGAGGGGAAGAAGAGTACAGGTTAGAGACCGTTTACCTCTAGTGTGTGCTTACATGTAAGTGGATACGACATGCGTTAAGATATTGTTAAGTTGCATTAAGGTACGATGCGATACGTTAAGAATGATTATGATACGGATATGGAAGTTGCTGCTCTGTCCCTGCCTAAAATGTTAGGTGCGTTTGTGTTATTGTGTGACTTTTGATGTTATAAAGGGTTAGTTAGGAGCCACCAAAGTTTCACAATAACACAAACCAACTAACAGATAAAGGCAGCAGTAGACTCCTGTGTTCTCCAAATGTAATTTATAGTTATTTTCAATGGAGTCTGGTGGCTTTGGTGAGAACATAGATAACAGATTCAAACACCTGTCGGAAAAGGGCTGTATGAGGGTAAGGTGAACATATTCTTAAAATGATGCATGTAAGGGAAACTTCTGTGTAGCAATGCAGTGGGAGTCACCGACTCAGGAAGGAGACACGGTAGAGCAGGAGCTTTGATGTCAAACACTGGAGGTTTATTTGGAGTTTCGGCCGGAGAGTTCACATCACAAGTCACAGCAGCCACGGTCTGACTGCACGGGTGGGTTGCCACGTCAATTCTGGAGCGCCTCTCTCTCGTTAGCCCATTTAACTGGTTTCACAGAGAGTAATCAACATATTTTCATAAGATAGTTTAAACAGTTGGGAACACTGAGTCACTTGCGTCCGTCATTTATGGCCTCGAAGATGTCATACCTTGGAGTCCACAAACAACAAAGAAGGAAGTGTCCCAGTGCACCCACAACAACAGACCATCTGTGACCGAGTGTTGACCGGTCACAGAATGGGAACAATAACATTATGGCTGAAGCAGCCTATGTCCTTAAAGGAGATAAACAGACGTCAGGGTTGGTCATGTACGTCATATCTAGGAGTCTAGGTCAATCATTTCTCTAACAATGCATACATTTAAACTGATACTGATCATTTTAGGTAGGTCTTTTTATTAGGTGGCAAACATACGTGTTCTTTCTACCCTTATCCACAGCAGAATATTGCTTTGCTTCAGTGCCGTAACTCGTGTCTGTTTCTCCAAAATGAGAGTGCAATCACCACCTTTTATTGTTATAAGGTGACTATGGATAAGTCCCTCATAAAACCTTACTTCAAATATCTGAACTATTTCTTTAAGATTAACATAATAATATGTGTAATCAAAATGAGTTAGAGTCTCCTCACCGGCTGTGAGTGACTTGTGATTCAATATACGGAAGATTTAATATATAGATACTTTAAGAAACTATACGATATGATACGTTAAGATTCAATATACGTGAAGATGTAATATATGTTAAGATACTTTAAGACACGATGCGTTACGTTAAGGTAGATGGTGGTTTTTGCCAGTAAAAAAAACAGTTTAAGAGTATGCTTTTTATTTTTAAATATAAAAATGGTGTACATAGAAGTACATTGCTTCAGTGCCCTAACTCCTGTCTGTTTCTCCAAACTCAGCGTCCAATCACTGCCTTTTTTTGTAAGTAATACTGTGACTATTGAAAGTCCCTCATAAAACCTTACTTCAAATATCTGAAGTATTTCTTTATGATTAGCAACACCCACAGGGGAACTGATTCTGAGCCGGGAGTCAAGTTGAACTTCCCGTCTTAAAGGTCCCCTATTATACTGTTTATAGGTCTCAGATATATACAGAGCATGTCTCTGGAGTGTTTGGCTCCAAATACCAAGCAGATCATTGCAGCATCCCATAATCCCCTCTGTTTCAGCCCTGTTTCAAAACTGCTGATTCTCTGTCTGTTACTTTAGATGAAAATAAGGAGCCCCTCCCCACGCCCCTCTGAGAGAGATTTGGTTAAAAAGAACACAATAGCCGCGTTCACACCGGAGTACTTTTCCCCTTTAGTTCCGTTAGTACCCCTTATGTTGCGTTCACACCAAAAAGAGTACTTAGTGCCGGGAACTTTTAACCCCATTTGTAGTCCCTGCTAGAGAGGTGGTACTATCCTGGGGGGAAAAAGTGCCCCAGTTCTGATTGGCTGGGCGAGTTGCAAACCATGCCCCGTAAAACTCTGAAAAGTTTTGTGAAGCCGCCATTGTATTTGTGGCATTAGCATTATTAGCATTAGCCCAGCGCACCAACGGAGAGAGACTAACTTATGGCAACACAAAAAAAAACATGGGAGCGGTGGAGATGAGGAGGTGTCAGCGTTCTGGCGATTTACTCAGAAGGCTTCAGTAGAAGCTGCTGGGAGTCCCAGCAGCTTCTACTGAAGCCAGTCCCCAACTCCGGGGACTTCCGGCCGGGGACTTCGGGTGGCAGTATACGCCGTGAAGTGGTTTGCGGCCTGCCAGTAAACCCAAAGCAGAAGAAGAAGAAGTGACGTCAGCGGCTCATTTGACTAATCCTCCCTCAGGGAAAAGTACTCCGGTGTGAACGCGATTGGTACTTAGTGCCCTGGGGTAACTAATGGTTACACAAGCCAAAACATCGTTATGACATCATAAAGTGGGCAAAATCTGATCAGCTCATTTTCAGACAGGTTTTTATATAAATGGATCAAAAAGAGAGAGAATCTTTTTTCCTGAAACTTTCAGAATCTCTTAAACAGAGGGGACACATGGTGATGTAGAAGAGACATGGAGAAGAGGGGACGCATGTTGATGTAGAAGAGACACTGAAGAAGAGGGACACATGGTGATGTAGAAGAGACATGAAGAAGAGGGGATACATGTTGATGTAGAAGAGACATGAAGAAGAGGGGACACATGTTGATGTAGAAGAGATGAAGAAGAGGGGACACATGTTGATGAAGAAGAGACATGAAGAAGAGGGGACACATGTTGATGTAGAAGAGTCATGAAGAAGAGGGGACACATGTTGATGAAGAAGAGACATGAAGAAGAGGGGACACATGTTGATGTAGAAGAGACATGAAGAAGAGGGGACACATGTTGATGTAGAGACATGAAGAAGAGGGGACACATGTTGATGTAGAAGAGACATGGAGAAGAGGGGACACATGTTGATGTAGAAGAGACATGGAGAACAGGGGACACATGTTGATGTAGAAGAGACATGAAGAAGAGGGGACACATGTTGATGTAGAAGAGTCATGAAGAAGAGGGGACACATGTTGATGAAGAAGAGACATGAAGAAGAGGGGACACATGTTGATGTAGAAGAGACATGAAGAGAGAGGGACACATGTTGATGTAGAAGAGACATGAAGAAGAGGGGGACACATGTTGATGTAGAAGAGACATGGAGAAGATGGGGACACATGTTGAATGTAGAAGAGACATGAAGAAGAGGGGACACATGTTGATGTAGAAGAGACATTGAGAACAGGGGGACACATGTTGATGTAGAAGAGACATGAAGAAGAGGGGACACATGTTGATGTAGAAGAGACATGAAGAAGAGGGGACACATGTTGATGTAGAAGAGACATGGAGAACAGGGGACACATGTTGATGTAGAAGAGACATGAAGAAGAGGGGACACATGTTGATGTAGAAGAGACATGAAGAAGAGGGGACACATGTTTGATGTAGAAGAGACATGGAGAAGTGGATTTTGCACAATAGGTGACCTTTAAGTTTTGTGTGTGTGGAATACACTTTTGTGACATGATGTGTGTCCTGAGTCTCCTCACCGGCTGTGAGTGAGTTGGGGGTCCTGCGTCGGAGTTTGTGCTCCAGCAGCTGGTGGGTCCGCGTGGGACTCGCTCCTGCCATCAGCCTCACTGTGGTCTCATGGAGGAACACCTGCAAGGTAAACACAAACACATCAGAGCTGCAATGCCTGTCATCATCCAGGTGTCTGTGTGAGGGATTTACAAGCAGAGAAACATTGATCCTTCTCTATACCTATTCACTGTGAAAATGAAATAACATTTAACTATTATATTTAGTATTCTTCTCTTTGCTGCTATTACTGCTTTTATTTATTTTGTTTCTATTTGTATCTGCATCCATAGAAGCCTGCAACATTTCAAGTATAATGACAATAATAATTTTCTTATAGAGCGCTTTTCTAGAAACTCAAAGACACTTTAAACAGTAACAATACTCATAAAAACATAATTAAAACAACACACTGCAAATATATAAAACACAACATTAATTACAGATTAAAAGCAGTTAAAGATCTTCTGAAATTCTTACGGAAACAAACTGTTATCTACTGTAACAGCTTGCTCTATTTTTACTTTATTCTCTTGGCTTAAATGGATGTTTTTTAACGTGTGTTTCTGTTTCTATCTATCCTAATTCTCTTATGTGTATATGTAAAGCACTTTGAATATAAATAGACTTGCCTTTCATTATAATGAGGACTTTTACTTGTAATGGAGTATTTTAAAACCATAGTATTTTCTATTTGAAATGTTCTGAGTACTTCTCCCAATATTTCTCACGACTGAAGGCACTTCATTTCAAGCGTCTTGAACAAGTCAAAACAGAACGAATCAAGTGAAAGCAGGAGTCGTTGAAGACCCTCCGGCTGCAGTAATGACTCCTCCCGTAAAATAAAGTATGATTGATGATGTGTTAAACCGCGTGAGATTTCTGCAGAGCGGGGGGGAACTTGATTCAGTAACTGAGTTTCATCAGGATCCAGATGATCTCTGCTGATTCCCAGCAGGAGAGCTGCCTGTTTTACGATATTATGTCATCATTATATATTGATGAATTCGTTTAGTTTGGCTGAGATGATGAAAGCTGATTTAAAAACTGATTCAACATCTTGTTTTAGGCATTTATCCATATTTTTGAGATTTAAAGAGGGATAAATGAATCATAGTTATGAATCTACCGATGAACTTTCCCACATTGCTGCAGGAAATGCAGTGTAATTAAGGTCAGAATGATAAACCCTTGGCAGTTATCTAGAAATGCCTTGTTGTAATGTCAGGATTTAAGGGTTGTTAGCACTGCTGCAGTGAAGGGATTTCAATGATGCTTCTCTTCAGAATGTAGAACCAGAACGAAAGACATGTTGCATCTCTGTTCAACCCTTTAACAATAAATAATAATACCTTTTATTTAAAGAGTGCTTTCATAAAGGTACTCTGTCTCTACTTTAAAGAGTCCTCTCCTGCTGATGTTCAGGTGTATATCAGTATGTAGTGTCTCTACTTTAAAGAGTCCTCTCCTGCTGATGTTCAGGTGTATATCAGTATGTAGTGTCTCTACTTATCAGTATGTAGTGTCTCTACTTTAAAGAGTCCTCTCCTGCTGATGTTCAGGTGTATATCAGTATGTAGTGTCTCTACTTTAAAGAGTCCTCTCCTGCTGATGTTCAGGTGTATATCAGTATGTAGTGTCTCTACTTTAAAGAGTCCTCTCCTGCTGATGTTCAGGTGTATATCAGTATGTAGTGTCTCTACTTTAAAGAGTCCTCTCCTGCTGATGTTCAGGTGTATATCAGTATGTAGTGTCTCTACTTTAAAGAGTCCTCTCCTGCTGATGTTCAGGTGTATATCAGTATGTAGTGTCTCTACTTTAAAGAGTCCTCTCCTGCTGATGTTCAGGTGTATATCAGTATGTAGTGTCTCTACTTTAAAGAGTCCTCTCCTGCTGATGTTCAGGTGTATATCAGTATGTAGTGTCTCTGCTTTTAAAGAGTCCTCTCCTGCTGATGTTCAGGTGTATATCAGTATGTAGTGTCTCTACTTTAAAGAGTCCCCTCCTGCTGATGTTCAGGTGTATATCAGTATGTAGTGTCTCTACTTTAAAGAGTCCTCTCCTGCTGATGTTCAGGTGTATATCATATGTAGTGTCTCTACTTTAAAGAGTCCTCTCCTGCTGATGTTCAGGTGTATATCAGTATGTAGTTGTCTCTACTTTAAAGAGTCCTCTCCTGCTGATGTTCAGGTGTATACAGTATGTAGTGTCTCTACTTTAAAGAGTTCCTCTCCTGCTGATGTTTCAGGTGTATATCAGTATGTAGTGTCTCTACTTTAAAGAGTCCTCTCCTGCTGATGTTCAGGTGTATATCAGTATGTAGTGTCTCTACTTTAAAGAGTCCCCTCCTGCTGATGTTCAGGTGTATATCAGTATGTAGTGTCTCTACTTTAAAGAGTCCTCTCCTGCTGATGTTCAGGTGTATATCAGTATGTAGTGTCTCTACTTTAAAGAGTCCTCTCCTGCTGATGATCAGGTTCATATCAGTATGTTGTGCCTCTACTGGGACATGTCTCCATGCTTCAATGTTCAAAAAGCTCTTCATTTTTCTCATACTGCCTGTGCTGCAGCACCTATTTTCACCCTCTGTCTGAAACCAGAGCCCAGTCTGCTCTGATTGGTTAGCTGGCCGGCTCTGTTGTGATTGGTCAACCTCTTAAGAGTGTTTACCTTGTGTTGTGCCTGCCTGTAGCACTGTGTGAGCTTTCGGAGCGCGCTGAGGTCCTTCTGGAAGCCGGACAGCTGGGACCCCGGGGCCAGACCGGGCTCTCCGTTACTGCTGCCCCCCCGCTGCCACACACTGGTCCTCAAGGTCAGCAGGAGGTCACAGATCAGGAGCTCCACACCCTTAAAAGAGAAAGAAGACTTAGTTTGGTGCGTTTACATAAAGATGCATCATTGGAAATTATATTATATTTTCATAAAAATATCTCTATACTATTTTAGTTTTTTATTTCACACTTAACTAACTACTTATCAAGATTTTCATTTCATTGGATCTTTTATTGAACATTTTTCTTTAACTTCTTATGTTTATTTAAGTACTTCGATGTTATTTTAAGGATATTTGTGTGCCTTTACACAACGATCGACAGCTCTACTTGTATGGTAACCCCGATTTAAGTTTTGAACAGTTCTAAAATTGAGCGACTGTCACGAAACCCAAATGTCCCACCAGATAAATAAGTATTCTGATTCTCCCATACATCTCACCCAACATGCAATCCTACAATTAAGCAACATCTCACCCACTGTGTACACTGTGTGTGTGGTGTGTGCAGATTGGAGAGGCCTCTGTGTTGCACTGCAGACACATTGCACTCGTCATCAGGACCATGCAATGCAACTACAATGCACCACAGCCACCTCCTGTCATGCACACTGTAACACACACACACACACACACACACACACACACACACACACACACACACACCACACACACACACACACACACACACACACACACACACACCACACACACACACACACACACACACCACACACACACACACACACACACACACACACACACACACCACACACACCCACACACACACACACACACACACACACCACACACACACACACACACACACACACACACACACACACACACACACACACACACACACACACACACACACACACACACACACACACACACACACACACACACACACACACACACACAGCTAATTTATATTTAACTTCTCTACATTCAAGAGGCAGCTATTGTACTTTTTCCTTTTACTACATTTACTTCCCATTCCTAGTCACTAGTTTTACAATAAAAACACATGATATGCTTATACGATATGATGAAGTACTTTAGTTCTCACCAACCCCAAATCGACTCTCCTATCATGATATCGATATAATGCCCAGCCTTGTTCATGAGCAGATAAGAGAACATAATTAAGATTTTTCTGGAACTCAAAGGCGCTTTACAGTATGAGGGAGGGTAGACAAACAAGGACACGAGTGATCCTGTGTTCCCTACCTTGTTGAGATAGTTTCCGGTCTGAGCGAGGGGAACGGAGATGCTGGAGCGCAGGAAGCTGCTGGCTCTGTCGCAGTGAGACAAGCAGGCCATCGCTCCCTCGCCCTTCAGCGGAGAGAGACTCATCTGAACGGCCTTACAGAGCAGCAGCACGGACTTAGGCACAGGGTGGCTGGAGCGGAGAGGAGGGAGAACAGGGAAGTGAGGACAGTTATCAAAATACTTGGTGGGATATAAGATTTTGTGACAGAAATACAATAATCTTCCTCAGTGTTATTAGTATTGCAGAGTTGAATAAGTGCACGGGTTATATAGTGTACGTTTTGTCTGTATGGCACTATTTAATATGATTTAAGCAGATTTCGGATAATAACGACACCCATGTCTCTGATTTAAGATTATCTTGTCCGGCTAAAAATGTCCTGTAGTCTTCAACAATGTAACCCAGATGAAGAAAGGATGCTCCACCTTCACATCGCTTATTCTAGATTCTGTTTTGTAGTGCAGGACGTTGTGTTTTGTTCCTATTTGGACCTAATTGAACAAGGAAGAATGGTCAAGGTGAGAGTGAGTACTAGGTTGCTACTGTTGCTGTTGTTTGTTGTTATTGTTTTGTGGGTTTTATTATGTTGTGTTGTCCCTAATGTTTCTTGTATCGTCTCAGCTGAAAATAAAATAAAAAAAACATTGAAAGAGAAAAGGCAGCTCATTCTGGAATAGCCTCCGAACTGAGATACGGGATTGTCCCACTGTCGATAGTTTTAAAGGTCAACTGAAAGGATGGTTGAGAAATAACCAGACGACGTGCGATCACCGCTAAATGCACTTTAACACAGGGGTATCCTCTCTTGCACTTTAGGTATCGATGCTGCTATTTTGTATTACCATGTCCTAAATACTTGGGTATTCTACTCTTGCACTTTATGTATTTGTACTGCTATGTTTGTAATTTTCATTTTCTTAATGTTTCATGTGAGGGACTGCGGATGGAAAGTAGCTCAAAGCTAAATCCGGCATATTTACACTTGGTATATTTCATGTTTTAAGTATTCATTAATGTGCAATGTCCCTCCCAAATAAACAAATAGATAATAACAGGTTTTGCTTGACTTACTCCAGAGTATGCAGAGCCCTGGGCATCCGCTCTGCTTCTGCCAGCAGTGACCTCACAGAGGCGTCGTCGCCCTGCAGCCAATGAACAGCCGCCTTCAGGACCAACGCCCACCAGCGGCTCACCGGGTCTCCAACTGACAGGAAGGAGAGAGGAAAGGTGTGTAACAAATCAAGGATAAAAACAGACAATACAGGAAGGCATTGATGGAAGACATAGGACATATATTTTACAAATATTACTTACAATTACAAATACAATTAAATGTATCACAATTAAGGAAAAGGAAGAGATAGGAAATATATACATCTGCAATTAAATGTATCACCATTAAGTGAATTAGGCTTTTTCAATATGCTCAAAGTTCCTATGCTTTAACTGCCATGTGTGCCGCTAACTGTTGTTCTCTGTGTTATTGTTGTAGTGTTGTTGTTGTTGTTTTGTAAATTAAAGACCTATCTTTTTAATTTGGCTTATCATTTTTAGTGGTATCACTGTTCATCTTTTATAGTTTTAACATATTTTATGTAAATATTTGATGTTCCTCATTTGTTATTGTGATTGTTTTTGTCATGCTCTGTAAAGCACTTCGGGATGCGTCAAGCATGAAAGGGGCTATATAAATAAAGTTTATTATTTACATATTATGTATTTGATGCGCTTTCACACCAAGTACTTTGCCGTACTTAGTTCATCAGAACTCGTTAGTTCTGATGAACTAAAGAGTAGATCGCGTTCACACCGGAATAAGTCCCTGAGGGAGGATTAGGAAAATGAGCCGCTGACGTCACTTCTTCTTCTTCTTCTGCTTTGGGTTTACTTGCAGGCTGCAAACCACTTCACGGCGTATACTGCCACCCGGAGTCCCTGGACGGAAGTCCCCGGAGTTGAGGACTGGCTTCAGTAGAAGCTGCTGGGAGTCCCAGCAGCTTCTACTGAATTGGTTGATATGGGCTGAGAAGGTGTGGGAAATCTATCTGATGAAACAAATAGCTTATGCACGAAGACTTTAAACAGATATTTATTAAAAAGGTGGACTTCTGCCGTTATTATACTCGTACAGCAAACAACATATCCCCACACCTTCTGACTCATACCAGTACCTCCATCTTCCTCACACCCATCCATACACAGTTCTCCCCAATTGTTTTATTATGATGTATGTATTTATTCATTTATGTATTATTATTATTATTATGATGAAGAAGAAAAGGCAAAAAACCTAAACGTGTGAATATGCCATGTTAAATAATACAAAAGGACCTACTAGCTCCACTCTATAGATATTTCTGAAGCTGTGAAAAGATGTTCCCAGTCAAATGAGAGCTGATGATTAACATCCTTGTCTTTTTATCTCTTCTCCCAGTCTCTTGAGGGATAGAAAGCTGTGTGTGCAGAACGTCTCTGGAAGTTAATTAGCATCGCCCAAGGAGACTGCCAATGTATTCAAATCCATCGCTAGTCACTTACTACCGCAAAATCAATGTCTGCAAACAAAAAGAGAATCCCAAAGGACCAATTGTTTGTCAGCGAACGGTAAATAGAGCAAAAAGAGAAGAAATCGCTTCATGCCGTCAGTTATAAGTGTGGTTACTTAATTAAGGGAAATGTGTGGAAATGTCTTCCTCCTTGCCAACATCCGATGTGATTCATGCTTTATTTGGATTGGGCAGGGTTTGCTCTGTTGGTGTTATTCATACCTGGAGTGGTGGTGTGATTGGGAGGAGTCGAGAAGGGAGGAGGAGGGGAGGGAGAGTCCTCCGTGCAGCTGTTCAACAACTGCAGGAACTCAAGGGCGCTGGAAAACTCCCTGAAAGAGACACACGTTCAACAGATCCAGGGTAAGTATAGAGTGGTGCCACGATGACGTCTTTTTGAAGGTCGATTCATAAGATAGCATCGCAAGGCTGCTTCTGTAAAAAGCCAATGGGGTTTTTTGCATTTGGAATTTGGATTTTTGCAGATGATGAGACATTTTGTGATTTTTGAAGCGTAAATGCAATTGCCAAGGGTAACGTAGGCTTAAAAAGGAACTACATCACGATCACATGACCACCGCTAAGCTAAAGGTGGCTAATTTTGGTTGTGTTGATGTTTAGTCAATTCATTTAGACACTCGTTAGCAAACACAGTTTTGAGGACACGTAAAAGCTTCAGACGTTCTCTAGTGGGGTATTTACTGACATATTTTATGTCGTACGACAAAACATGAAAATGTTTGATGCTTGTGTTAACCACAGACCTTACTGTATTTCAGGCATGTAACCCAAACACACATAAAAACAACCATTGAAGCACCTGTTTCGGATTTGTAAGCATACTTGTCTGTACCGACTACCCAGGGAGAGGTCAGAGAATTTAAATGAATGTCTGTATTTATGAATCAATTGCTTAGAAGGAAAGGGGTAATGTATGTATGTGTGTGTATGTGAGCAATAACATGTAGATTTGAGTGGACTGTAAACTGAGGCGGGTGTGATTTTTATGTACATCTCCATGTATGTTATATATTTGTGGAATAAATAAAAAGTAAAAAAAAACAAACAACCATTGACTTTGAGACGAGTGATCCTGGAAGTGCTGAAATGCACACACACTGCTGGTACCCTCTGCCTTACCCAGAGCCGTTGTTGCGTTTTCCAGCTTCAGAGTTGCTCTGCGGCTGGATCAGCGTGTGGACGGCTCTCTCCAGAAGCTTCCTGCAGAAACAGCGGTGCAGCTGGGCGATGGGGTCGGCTGCAGGGAGATCAGAAACAGAGAGGAACAGTTATATCATATCTAATAAAGTTATATGATATCTAATATGTATATATGACCAAGTACCAGGGTTTCCTCTAGGATTATTTTCTTCCCGGTCAAATTTCTGTAAATAATTTATTTGACCGGACAAATTTGAAACTTACATGTTTCAATAATAATAATAATAAGAATAGTGTAGCAGAGTTTCCGTTAGCAGGTAATTACCGGTAATTAACTTTGTGTTCATTTTGAAATTCATTTTAATAAAAGAGTAAAATAGCCTCTGGGTGTGTTTGCCTCATACCTGGGTCTCTCTGAGAAGTGTACACGCCGTCGCTGCTGTCCGACTTCACCGACCAATCACAGCTCAGGAAGAACTGCCTCCCCAGAGGCGTGAAGAGCCAGCGCAGGCAGTCAGGGATGGACTTGCCCTCTGATTGGTTGGCCACACTCTCTGCACAACTCAACAGATAACCCTGGGGGATAAACGGGTAAGAAAATATGATGTTGATGAAAAGAAAACTCATCAAAGGGAAGTGTTTAAATGTGTGTGTGTGTGTGTGTGTGTGTGTGTGTGTGTGTGTGTGTGTGTGTGTGTGTGTGTATAAAAAAGTCCTTGATTAGAGAAATTAGTGACATGGTTTTGGAAGAGTAGCCTGGTTTTAACATTGTATGCATGAACGCAAATGACTTAATTGTATTTTAAGTAGCCCTAATGTATGTGTGTGTGTGTGTGTGTGTGTATGTGTGTGTGTGTGTGAGAGAATACTCCTCGTGGCATGTTTGTTATGGAAGAGTAGCCCGGTTTTGTCGTTGTATGCATGAACGCAAATTACTTCATCGTAATGTAAAGTAGCCTAATGTGTGAGTTGTTGCTGTGTGTGTGTGTGTGTGTGTGTGTGTGTGTGTGTGTGTGTGTGTGTGTGTGTGTGTGTGTGTGTGTGTGTTCAGGAGGCAGCGATGGTGGTGCCCCCGCTGAGGCGCAGCAGGATCTGCTGGCAGTCCTGCAAGGAGCGCCGGTCTCCCACCCGCTCCAGGTGGTATGGATGCTTGTGTGCGTGTGTGTATGTGTGTGTGTGTGTGTGTGTGTGGATGGATGCTTGTGTGCGTGTGTGTATGTGTGTGGATGCGTGTGTGTGTGTGGATGATTGTGTTTGTGTGCGTGTGTGTGCAAGAGGGAGGAGTAACAGTGCTCTATTGGATACCACAGTCATAAGTTGGAGCTGATGAGAGACTCACAGGCAGAAAGGAGAGATGATGGCCCAGGATGGTGCGCAGAGCGGTGGCTGCGGTGACGTAGATCTGGGTCAGCTGGGCGGGGGCCATCTTGCTCTGAGCGCTCTCGCTGAGGTTGACGGCATTTAGAGAAACAGAGAGAGCCCACAGGCTGCTGCGCTGAGGCAGCTTCCCTAGAGAGAGAGAGAGAGAGAGAGAGAGAGACAGAGACAGAGACAGAGACAGAGACAGAGACAGAGACAGAGAGAGAGAGAGAGAGAGAGAGAGAGAGAGAGAGAGAGAGAGAGAGAGACTGTGTGACTCAAAGTGGGGGATCATATCTGCTGTCATTCATGTCAAATACAGTCTGTTGTTGTTTTTTATAATAAACGACGTATTCCTTTTCCCTAAACTGTACACTGATATCTTTAATAATAACCACTCACCAAATATTGTGGTATTCACATTTTTACATATATATATATATATATTGGGGATACAATGTGCACATTTTTACTTTAACTTCTTATGTTTATAAACATATTGTTATTTTTATGAAATATGATCTTTGTATTGCACATTTTCTTAAATGTATATACATATTTGTTTTATATTTTATTACATTTTTAACCTTTATTGCACATTATTACTTTACTTCTTATTTTTACATTAAAGGTCACCTATCATGCTATTTTTAGGCAATAGCATAGGTCTCATATGTATCAAAATATATAAAAAAACATGTCTATGAAGTGTTTTGCTCAAAATACCAAACAGATCACCCATTCTAGCCATGCCTCATATCCCTCTATTTCACTTCCTGTTTCTAAAGTGCTGATTTGGGGAATAAAGCTTTAAAAAAATAATTGATAACAAATAAAAAAGGAGGGGGCTGAGCTCATGCGGGACCCGGCAGCTACTGTCTAAACTAAATGCTGCCGTGATGAAACGCCATATCATGGATTATCAAGGATTCTCTCTGAAACAGTCTGGAGTTCAAAGGCTTTCTCTCTTGCCGGTTATACCACTAAGGTGAGTTCCTTTTACTTCCTGCTTCTTCACACACATGCTCTCCAGTACAGGTTAGCTCTGAGTGTTAGCGATGCTAATGTAAACACCGACCATATTACGTCCAAAACAGTCGGGCATTGTTTCTGATAGCAACTTTCTGATTGGGCCGTGGGTCCACATTTCAGATATTACGTCATATCGGACGCAAATCTGGATCAGCTCCGTTGTTCCCCCGTTTTTAGAGATTTGGGTACGGAGGAAAAGAGAGAGGGTTTTATTTCCTGACGCTGCGTGAGTTCCCTGACGCACCGGGGACACATAGTTGATGTAGAAAAGACATCAGAAAGTGCACTTTGCATGATAGGTCCCCTTTAAAAAGGTAGTTACTATTATTTATTGCTAATCTAATTTAAACAATTTTACTTTACTTTCATGTTTTTCTATATGTGTATTCTATATAATTGCACATTATTATTATTTATATACAATAAATATTTGTATTAAATTCTAAAATGGAGCAACTGTCACAAAAACTAATTTAAAGAAAAAGATAATATTAAGTGATTAATCCCTTGTGTCTTCATCCCCCCTCTCCCTCACCCTCTCCTCCCCCCTCTCCCTCACCTCTCCCTCTCACCTCCCCCTCACCCTCTCCTCCCTTGTCTCCCTCTCCTCCCCTCTCCCTCACCTCCCCCGTCTCCCTCTCCTCCCCCCTCACCTGTGAGTTGCAGCTGACTCAGCTGGTGGTAAACCAGTGCAGCGTCCTTCGCACTGGTCCTCGCCTCCTCGCCCTCATGTTTCCCCCCCACCTGACGAACCAGCCAGCCCAGAGGAATCGGGCGGTGCAGGACGTAGCGGACCACGTTCCAGCTGAGCGAGCACACCAGGTCCAGGTTGGAAGAGGGAAGGGCTCGAGTCAACACGGAGAGGCAGGTTTCTAAACTCCCCATCGCTGCCGTGTAATCTCCCTGCAGGAGAGGAGGCAAGGCAAGTTTATTTATACAGCACCTTTCAACAAAAGGCAATTCAAAGTGCTTTAGACAAATGAAAGACATTAAGAGCATTAAACACATTAGAAACATTAAAAAGCAAAGATAGTAAAACATGAATATCACAGGTACATGAATAAAAGTTACAGTGCAGTGTGAGATGTGAATAGTTCAACTAAAAGCAGCGGCAAAAAGAAAGTCTTCAGCCTGGATTTAAAAGTAGTCAGAGTTGCAGCGGACCTGCAGGTTTCTGGTATTGCTCCAGATATTTGACAAGACCCCTAACCAAATTCTCACTTTCTCTACCCCTGGTCTTCCCATGAAATTATAGTTATTTTGACACTTTTCTAACCTTTTTATATTCCTTTCATCCTTCTCTTTCATCCATTTTGAATTCCCAGACAACACATGTTCCTGTTTTACTGTTACCCGAACCCATCTTTGATATTTTAACCTGTGTTACGACTTCCCTCATGAATCTATGGCCTTCAAACCAGAAGGGAAAACCGAAAGCTGATCAGTATTCAGAGCAGGCTGACAGGCAGGCAGGCGATGAAGGTCATTACATCGGATAGCACATATTTGAACAAATGCTTAAAATAAACCAATGAAGGGGCTAAACTTAGACTTCAAGACGGTGAGAATCAAAGCAAACTGGGTGAAGTGAGAAATCTTCAAATATGATTCTTCAAACACGTCAAAAACTGGATACAAAATATTAAAAAAGTTCCAAATTCTCAGCCTGCCACATGAAGTCGTGTGCTCATTATTTCCTATATTTGGAAATGCTACCTCTTGAGAAAGTTAACTGAACACAAAACTCTTATGCCAGGTTAAAATACATTTTAATAGGCTGGCAATTTGTTTTCTTGGTTTCTTTAAAGCTGGGGTAAGAAATATATTTAAATCATTGGGACACAATTCCCAAATAACCGTAATGTATTACAGAACAATTGACAGTGAGTGATCATAGAGGGCTTTACAGGCCCACAAGCTGGAAAGTAAACAGGAGGGTAATTCTACAAAAATGTTTGCTGCAACGGGATTATAATAAGGATGTTGGAAATAAAACTCGTCCAGCTGGAGGTTGTTGTTGTTTTGCATTTTCTAGACAGCTACCTACCCTGGGGATCTATTGAATTACGACCTGATTAATAATAATAATGATGATAATACATTTGATTTAAGGCGCCTTTCATGACACCCAAAGACACCGTACACTTTGTTAAATATTCTAAGAGGTAAAAGCAACAGAACATGTTACAAACACAAACCTACCATCATGGAGAAGACAATTAAAGTGGACACAAATGATAGGGACAGGTTATTCAGAGCACTACAGTGAGTAGGCTGTAATATATATGAATGTTATATTCATGCATATATATTACAGAAAGGTTATGATGGATTGTTGTCCCAATATAACGAAGGAAAACTCTGGAAACATGTCTGGTCTGTCCTCACCCTTTTGAGATGCAGGTCTGCTTGTTTGCGATGCCTCCAGAAGGACACAGATTTGGGGCGAGTGCAGCGGTGTGACGGGCTCCCACAGATAGAGCACCCTCACACACCCCCACACCGCCCCCACCCCACTCAGCACCCACACCATCACCCACGGCAACAGGCAGCGCAGCCAGGATCCTGGAGGATGAGAAGAAAAGGGGTTACGGTCATTTTACATTTTAGAAGACATCACAACCAAGTGCTGGGTCACAAATTCAAATCGAGACTTATAGGATCGATAGAGATTGACGATATACGACAATGGCTTTCCAATGACTGTTTATGATACAGAAAAAACTGAGTGAAGGCTCAAAAGATAAAGGCAAGTTTACGGAAACCCTGAGAGAAAAAAAAAACGTTATCAAGTCGGATTTAAATTGTTATATTTACTGTGTTTATGATTTAAGAACAGCTGAAAAAAAGGCACAAAAAAAAGTTTGCCAGGATGACATACTACACATATACAATTCTGATTTATAAATTCAAGTCATTTCCATTTTTATATCCTCAGATTTTAACAAGAACTTGTCTGGCATTCTCACCATTAAAGGTTCCCTATTATACTGTTTTTCATCAATATATTATAGGTCTCAGATATATACAAAACATGTCTCTGAAGTGTTTGGCTCCAAACACCAAACAGATCATTGCAGCATTACCCATAATCCCCTCTGTTTCAGCCCTGTTTCCAAAGTGCTGATTCTCTGTCTGTTACTTTAGATGAAAATAAGGAGCCCCTCCCCACGCCCCTCTGAGAGAGATTTGGTTACAAAGAACACCATGGTGCTCTAGGAGGAGATGCAGGTGATAGGGGGGGGGGGGGGGGTTACCTTGGTTGCTGATTGGCTAATGGTTACACAAGACAAAACATCGTTATGACATCATCAAGTGGCCAAAATCTGATTGTCAGAGAATAATTGTTCCTTACTCCTAAGATATTTAACCTTTTCGCCTGTTGACGTTAATAACAAACTCTGACTCTGTTATCTCCTTTAAAGAATGTGCTGCTGCACTTATTCTCAGTTTTCTGACCGGTCAACTCTCGGTCACAGAGCCTAAGAGTCAGGCAAGTGATTCAGTATCTCGAGATGTTGGGGATATCTCCAGTGTTCCCAGGTGTTTACGCACCATCCCCCAATATGTGGATGAACTCTCTGCAAACTAGTTAAAAGGTCTATCGAGAGAGCGGCTGGTCAGATTTGATGTGGCAACCCACCCGGGCAGTCAGAACCTTTTGCTGCTGTGACTTGTGATATGAATTCTCCAGCCGATACTTGTAATAAACTACCAGTGTTTGACATCAAAGCTCCAACTCTCCTCGTGCCTCTCTGAGTCCTGACTCTCCATTGCTGCAGAAGTTTCCCTTACACTGATCAGCTCATTTTCAGACAGGTTTTTATAAAAATGGATCAGGACAAAAAGAGAGAGAATCTTTGTTCCTGAAACTTTCAGAGTCTCTTTCCACAGAGGGGACACGTGTATGAAAGACGTGAAAAAGTGGATTTTGCACAATAGGTGACCTTTAAAGCTCGACATATATAAACAAGTACACGGAAGCCCGGAGGAGGAAAGTAAAAAGACCAATTCTGATCTAAATTGTTATATTTTCTGTGTTTAATATTTAATATGAGCTGAAAAAAACTTTTAGCACATTACACATGTTCCAACACGTCTTAGATTTTGCCATGAACCTTGAAACAAACTGCCGGACCACCGATTACTCACCAAAGTCCTGAGTGGGACTGGGGAACCACCAGACGAGCGTTCTGGACGGCCCGTGGCCCGGAGAGAGGCCGGGGCTCCCCGAGGCCTCGGAGCCCAACATGGAGGGCAGAGGGTTCAGAGAGAGGCAGAAGAAGGTGAGAGCGCAGAGGAGGAGACGAGAGCCGTCCATCACGCCCACCGAGGAGGGAGAGTCTGGCTCACTCTTCAACTGGGAAAGAACAGGTTAACGATAATGAGTAATTATACTTTCAAATGACTTTTTACATTGGCTTTTTTTTATACTTGAAATGTGTGTGATGTGTTCTGTTATTATTATGTGTGTTCCTCTCGGGACTCCACGTGCTCTGTGTTTAGTTTTTATGTTGACCTAACATTTCTGCCTCATGTGGTTATTGTATTCATGGTTCTGTGCTCTTAAGTTTAACTTTTGTTCTTTCTTGTGAAGCACTTTGTGAATTCTAATTCTGTGAAAGGTGCTATACGAAATAAACATATTATTATTAAATAAATAGAATAATTGTAATAAATACTGTATTTTATAATAATGATATTTTTCTTTTTTTCCCCTCTTGTTTATTTTACTTCACATTTTCTAATTTTTTTTATTATTAGTTTTAATTATCTATTATTCTTTTTTTTATTTGTATTATAGCACCGGTCACTCTTTGGCTACTATTACAGCTAACATGACAGTTATTTTAATGTCAAGATTCAGATCAATACAAGGAGGATACTGCCAATTTGGAAATAACTTAAAAAGGTATTCTGTGTCTGTGTTTTCACGGACACTTCATTAAAGCCATGCTATTTGGTATCCTAATTTGAGAGACACAAGCAAGATTTTGTTCTACCACAACTCTAAAGCTAAGGTGTGTTACCTGGTCGTGGTCCAGCAGGGGGCTGCCGGGCTCTGAGTCCACACAGTAGGGAGAGAACTGGGAAGGAGAACCAGAACCAGAGTCCGAGGCCGGAGGAGACATCATCACGATCTCCTCCTTCATCTCCACATCTTCCGAGCGAATCGCTGTTTCTGAGATAAAGAGAGAGAGAGAGAGAGAGTGAGAGAGTGAGAGTGAGAGAGTGAGAGTGAGAGAGAGAGAGAGACTCAGTGACATCCCTACAGATCACACTCCACTTCTAAACATTCACTTTGTAAATCACTCACTGTTCTTCTGGTTGCCCATCTTTAGCGCCATGTTCTCCTGCCGCAGCTTCTGATTGGACGACTGCAGGTATCTGATGTAGTCGATGGCCTTCTTCAGCACTCCTGATTTGTGCATCTGGGTAAAAAGGGCACAACAGGATGTTGGGATTAATTGGAGAATTCAGTGGATTATTTTACACATTTAATAAACACTAAAACAATTAATGTTACATTTGCTTGATATATTTATTAAATGTAATAATGATGAAAGGCCTTTAAATGCCACGCTATTCATCAATATATTACAGGTCTCAGATATATCCAGAGCCTGTTTCTGATTGGCTGAAACACCAAGCAGATCATTGCAGCATTACCCATAATCCCCTCTGTTTCAGCCCTGTTTCCAAAGTGCTGATTCTCTGTCTGTTACTTTAGATGAAAATAAGGAGCCCCTCCCCACGCCCCTCTGAGAGACATTTGGTTACAAAGAACTCAATGGTGCTCTAGGAGGAGATTCAGGTGATAAGGGGGGGGGGGGTTACCTTGGTTGCTGATTGGCTAATGGTTACACAAGACAAAACATCGTTATGACATCATAAAGTGGCCAAAATCTGATCAGCCTATTTTCAGACAGGTTTTTATATAAATGGATCAAAAAGAGAGGAATCTTTGTTCCTGAAACTTTTCAGAGTCTCTTTCCAACAGAGGGGGGGACACAATGTTGATGTAGAGGGAGACATGGAGAAGAGGGACACATGTTGGATGTAGAAGAGACCACGAAGAAGAGGGGACACATGTTGATGTAGAAGAGACATGAAGGAAGAGGGGGACACATGTTGATGTAGAAGGAGACCACGAAGAAGAGGGGATACATGTTGATGTAGAAGAGGGACACGAAGAATGAGGGGATACATGTTGATGTAGAAGAGGACATGAAGAAGAGGGGGACACTGTTGATGTAGAAGAGGACACGAAGAAGAGGGGATACATGTTGGATTGTAAGAAGAGACCATGAAAGAAGAGGGGACACATGTTTGATGTAGAAGAGACATGAAGAATGAGGGGATACATGTTGATGTAGAAGAGCATGAAAGAAGAGGGGACACATGTTGATGTAGAAGAGACATGAAGAAGAGGGGACACATGTTGATGTAGAAGAGACATGAAGAAGATGGGACACATGTTGATGTAGAAGAGACATGAAGAAGAGGGGACACATGTTGATGTAGAAGAGACATGAAGAAGAGGGGACACATGTTGATGTAGAAGAGACATGAAGAAGAGGGGACACATGTTGATGTAGAAGAGACATGAAGAAGAGGGGACACATGTTGATGTAGAAGAGACATGAAGAAGAGGGGACACATGTTGATGTAGAAGAGACAGGAAGAAGAGGGGACACATGTTGATGTAGAAGAGACATGAAGAAGAGGGGACACATGTTGATGTAGAAGAGACATGAAGAAGAGGGGACACATGTTGATGTATAAAAGATATGTAAAAGCTTCATAGCTGACCTTTAAGAGACCCACCTTGGCATCGTTTCCCATGACAAGGTCCCTGAGCTCCAGGATCTTGTCGTTGATGGAGGAGCGGTACCTCTTCTCGATGATGTTGTGAGTCGTCCTCCTCTCTCCCTCCTTCACCACCCCCCCCGGGCCGATCATCCCCCCCATCATCTGGCTCTGATCCATCATGGTTCTGGCTCCCGTGTTGCTGTGGGCAGAGCCTGGCTGCAGCTGTTTGATTGGCAGCTTGTCTCCGCTCATCATGACGGGGACGGTGGTCAGGATGTTGCTGCTCATCAGCGTCTGGGGAAAATCAAGAGCAGTACGTTAGTTTTCAGTGTGGGACGGAAACTGTGTTTTCAACCCCTAAATATCACTGGTGGGATGCAAGTACAATTACAAAGAACTGTACGTAATAACATAATTGCACTTTACTTGTCTGTTTCTATTGTATGCTACTCTATACTTCTACCCCACCACATTTCAGAGGCATATATCAAGCTTTTTGCACTTTTAACACAAAGTTACTGCCTACTTTTTACACATAAATTCTATACTAATATAGTACTGTAAAAAAAGACCAATTAGTCATAATGAGTACTTTTGAGTACATTTAGCTAAATATACCTCTGCACTTCTACTTAAGTAACATTTTGAATTCAGGACATTTGTCGTCAAAAGTTTACATACACTTGTAAAGAACATGTATTTCATGACAGTCTCGACTTTTCAATAATTCCTACAACTCTTATTTTTCTGTGATAGAGTGATTGGAGCACATACTAAATGAAGTTTGGTTCTTTTATGAATTTATAATGTGTCTTCTGAAAATGTGATCAAACTGCATATTGGAGCATTAAGTGTTTCTACTTTTGGCTTTGTTCAGGATCCAGTACCTCTTCCACCTTTGCTAATAATATCAAACATGAATGCTGTGGCTGTGTACCGGGACTTGCAGAGCTGTGTTCTGCATGGGCGTGGTCAGGGTTGTTATCCCCGGGCTCTGCATGGTCGACAGAACCTGCGTGCCGTCTGGTTTCAGTGTCGTCAGAACCAGAGAGTCCGTCTTCAGGATCTGAGGCTGCTGCATCAGAACCTGAGGGAAACACATGGAAATCATGGTACAATGATAAAGTAAGGGATAATGAGGGTGACCCCCCCTGCCCCCACTGGACTTTAACTCCCCACACACACACACTCAGACACTTTTTACACTGCTATGGACAATCTTGCACTAATGTACATTTCCCAAACTTATTGAAGTGACTGTTATTTTGTATATATCGATTGTTGTGCTTTTATTTATGTCTTAATGTGTACATATGTATAAATGTGTATATAAAGGATAAACATATTGATATACATATATTTGTACTTTTGTATTCGGGATTGTGGGAAACGGTATTTCGATCTCTGTCTGTGCTCAAACTGAAAGATTGACAATGACTTTGACCGATGCACATTATCCCGCTGATTACACGGCTACTTACTAAATAAGAAATGAGTCACAATATTTATCCAATAAAGGATTTTATTGAGGAGTATTATCAAATCAAATCCAGTTTTATTTATATAGCACATTTAAAAGCGATTTTTTTTTTTGGGCGAACCAAAGTGCTGTACATATAATAAAAACACATTACTACAATCACAATAAAAGACACTAATTTACAACAGAAATATAAAAAATCAAACACAGGGAAAAGTCAGGTGTCGTGCTCCGCTCTGACTAGAATTACAATTTACACACGGCATCTATTGCACGTCTGTCCGTCCTGGGAGAGGGATCCCTCCTCTGTTGCTCTCCCTGAGGTTTCTCCCATTTTTCCCTTTAAACTGTGGGTTTTCTTCGGAAGTTTTTCCTTGATGTGAGGGTCTAAGGACAGAGGGTGTCGTATTGTCATACTGATATTTTGTACAAACTGTAAAGTCCACTGAGACAAATGTAACATTTGTGATATTGGGCTATATAAATAAACATTGATTGATTGATTGATTGATTGATTGATTGATTGACTAGAAGGCCAGAGAGAAGAAGTGAGTTTTTAGTGTTGATTTAAAAACCCCTAGGGTCTGGGCCGACCTCACATGGAGGGGCAGAGTGTTCCAGAGCCTGGGGCCAGCTGCTGCGAAGGTGCGGTGCCCTCGGGTTTTGAGCCTGGTCTTGGGCGCTACCAGCAGCAGCTGGTCAGCAGACCTTAAAGCTCATGCTGGGGTGTAGCGATGGAGGAGTTCAGCTATATAAGCCGGAGCCAGCCCATATAGTGCTTTGAAAACATGATAATAATAATACATGTTATTTATATAGCGCTTTTCCTGGTGCTAAGCGCTCATTATATGAATATTGTGTGGATTTACTGCCTCACTCATCCTTCTGTATGTAATACGTTGGAATGACGACGTGCAAATGTCAATGCAAGGTATTTATATTTGTATACAAGATGTTTAAAAGGTCAAAACATTGGTACTAAGATCTCCTGGACCTCTACACAGCAAACATGATTTGTGTATGAGATATCTTTTGCACTAACAAGGGTAAGATAGTTAGAAATATTGATCTTTTATTACCAAATATCAGCAAAAAAAACACACCATATTGCCTCATTTCCTAAAGGTGAACACTGATTCTAAATTCAGTGGTGATACTCACAGGTAGCTGCTGCATGGCGTGCACTGTGGTGGGCGCAGCGGAGAGCGTCTGGATGGTCTGACAGGTGGGGGTCAGGACGCGCTGGTGCTGAATGGTCATTGGTTGGAGCTGTGGTGATGTCATTATGCTCTGCATCTGTGGTTGGAGGACTGAGAATGGGAAAATAGATTATAGATCATTCAAAAATACTCTAAGAAAAAACATATTATTGCGTAACATGCATCTCTCCATATCTTCACGAAAATAACAAAACGGTTTGATTTAACACTATGATGTTTATGATCATACCAGCATGATAATTATAGTGAAATTATAGGTTAACTGTCATTTTGAAGTCAGATTGGGAAATGTCTTTTTTTATTAAGATTCCTTCATTATTCACATAATTGAAAACTATTTTTCTAATACATATATTGTTTATTTATAACTGTCACACTGACTGATTTATGGAAGGTGGCTTTTATTGTTTGCACTCAGTTCTTACACTCTTACCGTAATGCCTACCATACAGACCAGACTGGCATCGGTTCATCGCCAGGATGTCCCCTTCTGAGGGATACAAAGCAGAAGACCCTAAAGATGTCAAAGCAAAAAAAATGTAAGGACGTTTTGGGGCCAGAGGGCCTTTTTTGGAGATCTGAGAGTGAAAGGGGGAGATAGAGGGGGGAGGACATCGCCTGAAATATTCAGCCGGCTCGGGAGTCGAACCAGCTTACTAGGCAGCAATTTGTTTTTACATCAGAAAATATGGGACTTTAAGACACAGATGGAAAAATGCAGTAGAGCCAGAGATTAAGGTTTGGAATCAAAAGAGAGAGAGAGGAAATACTGTTCAATTCAAAATAAAAATCCATCCAGTCAAAATGCTTTTACTATAATATCTTAGTCCTAATTTATGAGTAGATTGGTCACAGAATACTATGATGACATTTCTCATAAGATGTCATTGTCAAATGTACTTGACATCTACGGGATCTTCTGTTTTTATCTCCCAAAAAGTGGAGTGAACTTGGCGATGACAAAACGCCGTCTGGTATACACAGGTACGGTGATACAGCGATGCTTTTCCCAAGTAGAGGGTGCCATCTCCTAGGTCCGTCTACAAAAACACGTCAACCCTGCACTTCTTTATTAACCCTAACTTTAACCCCTTCCTGAAAACTATTTTGTAGGTTCACCACCCTCCTTATCTCGTTTTTTGTCACCTTGGAAACTAGTGTTATGGCTCTGGTGGCAGATGACGGGGCTCTGGATGAAGCGCGACTGTCCGCCGTTGGAGGCGATCATCACGGTTTGAGCTTGGGTCTGGATGGGCAGCGGCGTCTGGCTGTGGGTCTGAACCAGCGTGTGCACCGGGAAGCTCTGCGTCTGCATCTGGATCCCCTGGGTGTGCATCTGCATTTAAGTACAAAAAACAATTAATGTCAAGATGCAATTTCATATCAAAAGTTATTCAATTTGGCTGCAATACAAGGAAGTTCATCTGGATTTATTTGCTTTTTTTGTTGTTTTGTTTTTTGTTGTTTGTTTGTCATATCGCCGCAGATTTGTAGTAAAGGTAATCTCAGGTCATTTAAACATCAATGTATTTCCAATGTTGATTTTAAACATTCTTCCATTTTAGATTCCCCAATTTGGGAAATGTTTGCGTAGCAGCAGCATCAAAAACACAAGGCAATGTACAGTACATAAGAGAAACTAAGACACAAGAAATAAACAGTCCAAAATATTTCAGAAATAGACATAAAATAGCATTACAAATTAATGACTTGTCTTGTTTCGTTTCATTTGCTCCAAGTGTTCATGCCTAAGTAAAGCTTTTTGAATTACTTTGTGCCTGAAAGGGGCTCTACACTTTATTTGTCAGGCTGACTGCAGTTCTGCTGAGGCTGTTTCTAAGCATGCAGGATAGTATATTTTACTGGTGTCAGAACTCAGCGTTTTCCTCCCGTCAGCAGAAGCCTTTTTAGTGCGGATGGCACAATGACAAAGAACAACACACCGTCTCCACGACAGACAGTCAAATCACAGCTGGAGAGACAGGCTGACTCATAACTACAGCACTGATCCATCACAGCAGCACTTTATATAAAGCCACGCATTGATCCAAAACACCTTTCAGCACGCCACATAACAGTGCGTAAAACTAACGCACCCTTGGGGAATAAGTAGCAGTTTGCCTGAGTTATAACCATAGACTGTATATATGGTTATAAAACCCATGTCCTTTTTTAACTGTCAGTTTCAGCAACGTGTACAAACATATTCACACTTTCTGTTTTTATATATTATTATTCCTTCAGCTTGATTCCACATAGAGAATAAATATATAATAAAAACGATATAATAAAAATAATAATCAATTAATAATAACGAATAAATGAGTGAAAAAATAAATAGATAAATAAATAATAAAAATAAAAGAAAGCTTGAATAAATAAAGGACACAAATAATAAAAACAAATAAATGAATGAATGAAAAATAATTAAATGCATTGATAAATAAAAACAAATAACTGAATAAATAAATAAAACTAAAATAATTAAAGGAACAAATTCATAAAAACAAATAAATGAATGAATGAAAAAAATGAGAGTACTGACAGTTGTTACCTGGATGGTGGGCTGCGCTGTCTGTAGGGGCTGAGGCTGGATGGGCTGAACCATCTGAGGCCTTGGCTGGAGGAGAGGGGGCGTGCGGGTCACCTGTACCTGCACAGAGGGGACGCTGGGGGGGGAGGGGGTCTGTACGGGGGTGAGGGGAGGGGTGAGGGGGAGATACTGAGGAGAGAGAGTCTGGGAGGGGGCGAGGCCAACTGTGGAGGTCTGGTAGACCACAGAGGAGGGAGTCTGTTGAATCTGAGGAGTCTGTGGAGTTGGAGGAGTTTGGGGGGTTTGTGGGGTTTGAACGGCAGGTCGTGGAGCCGTGTTGGCCCCCCCACTCTGTCCTGAGCCTGCTGAGGCCATCTGATCCTCAAACAGATCGGGGAAATCCCCCACCTGGTTGCTGACGAACTGCAGCATCTCTGAGGAGAAGAAGAACAACATTACAATTGGTCTGGAATTGATTGAGGAATCAAACTAAGCTTTTGGGACAACTCTGACATTCATTTAAAGGTGACATGTCATGCTTTTCTGGTTAGTACCCGTCCCCTTGTGTGTTATGAAGGTTTTTATGCATGTAAACGGTGTGCAGAGTCAAAACCCTCAAAGTACACCCTGTAGCGAGTAAAACTCTAAAACAGAAAATACCTCCCCAAAACGCCTCGTTGGAGATACGTCACTGTCCATTTGATTCTTCCGGGGACATCATGATGTCATGTCGTCCCCGGAACGAAATGGACCAATCCGTGGAGCCGTTACGTTAAGCCCCCGCTGATTGGTCCAAATTGACCAATCCACGGACTTCCTCACACACTCAGTGCAGGCAGCTCTGCTGATCTCTCCTCCCTGGCTGCAGGCTGATAACAGACAGTTGGGATCGCGACGAAATTCTCTCTGCAGACCCATTCTCACAGCGTTTATCAACCTTTGTCTTACTCAATATCAAGCCACACTTATTGTTTTTACTTCGGCTGTGACTTTGTGTGTGCTCAGGATGAGTTTCGCTGTGTATCGCTAAACAAGGAAATCACACCTCCACGGAGCTCAGCGCGATTCACAACGTCCCGACTGGTCCCGACCAATCGGAGCACACTGGGCCCACAGGGAGGGGGGGGGGGCAAGAGCTGCAGCGAGCCGTTTAGTGGAGAAAGTTTACAGAGATGCTGTATGCGAAACCAATGTGAGTTTGGAAAATTGCACAGTATAAATCTATTCTAGTAGACCTCAACAATGGAATTATGATCAGTGGAAATGGCCATGACACAGGACCTTTAATGGCTTAAAACATGAAAAAAGGTAAATTACAGAGAATCATTTATAGTTCAATACCATTACAATTCAAATAGGCATGTTTGTAATACAACTATATTATATAGTTTATTTTTCTGTCGACATAACAGTACTGGGAAGTATTTTTCTGAACTGTTTTGGCAGTTTTATTGGCTGTGATTATTTATAAAAGAAAATGGTTTCAATGTACTGGAGCTCAGTCCTCACTGCGGCAGACCCAGATTTGAATCAGGCCGTTGGTCTCTTTATGTGCGGATTTTGCGGGGGGGCAGGGGGGGCTAAGGACAGCTATCCAAATCTATACAAGATGCTCCAGTTGGCACTGACTCTGCCTATCGGATCTGCCACCTCTGTGAGAAGTTTTTCTGCAATGAGGAGAATTCGGAACTGGCTGCGGTCAACAATGGGAGGAACAAGATTTTCCTCACTTCGGTTCTTCACATTGAGGACGACATCACCGCACAGCTGTCACCTGAGGGGATAGTGAACATATATGCGGAACGCCCCCCATCCTGTATCAAAGACATCCAGAATTTCAACTTCACCATTGACAGCCACACTCTATCTCCCCCCCCTCACATCCGCAACCTCGGAGTCATCTTCGACAGTCAGCTCAAATTCAACCACCACATAAATCACATCACCAGGACCGCCTTTTTCCACCTCAAAAACATTGCCCGGCCGTCTCCGCCCATCACTCTCCTCCTCTGCTGCTGAAACCCTGATTCATGCATTCATCACAACACGACTCGACTACTGCAATAGCATTGTCTACTACGGAATACCATCCAACCTCCTCAATAAACTCCAACATATCCAGAACTCTGCTGCCCACCTCCTCACCCACACCCGCTCCCGAGACCACATCACTCCCGTCCTCCAGAACCTCCACTGGCTCCCCGTCCGTCAAAGAATCGACTTCAAAGTCCTTCTCATTACTCACAAAGCCCTCAACAACCAGCCCCCCCCTACCTCACAGACCTGCTGCACCACCACACCCCTTCCCGCTGCCTCCGCTCATCAGAAGCCAACCTCCTATCCATCCCCACCCACATCAATCACCGGACCTGGGGGGACAGAGCCTTCTCCGTCGCTGCCCCCCTCCCTCTGGAACTCACTCCCACAACCCATCAGAGACTGCACTGACCTCACCACCTTCAAAACACTCACCTCTTCAATCTGGCTTTTAATGTGTGATTGTTTTTGTATTATTTGACTTTAACTTTAACTACATATTTATTTGTTGTTCCTTTCTTTTCTTTTCTCTTCACTATATCTGTAAAGCGTCTTTGAGCACCTGTAAAAGCGCTAACAAATTAAATCTATTATTATTATTATTATTATTAATATTAACGTAAAAAAAGGCGTCTAAGGTAGGAGTGGACACTGGTCAATAATATTGTAGCGTGTTCAAGTAACCAAGGGATATAGAAGTTATCAAATAAGTATAAGATGTACACAGTTATGATACGTTTTACAGTTATGTAATGCACTGTTGTTGGGGGGAGAGACCGCCCCTTCCATATGAGTGTGTGTGTACGGCGGGCATGAGGCGTGCATGACGGGACGAGTTGTGTTCGTATGTGGAAAAGTAATACTCAGTGCGGTGAACGCTGGCTTTATTGCTACTGTATCCGTAGCACCCCACGCAATAGTTGGGACTGTGAAAAAAGGTTTGCCCCCCCCAAGCGCAAATGTTAAACTCCGCCTATGGTCATCTGCCTCCTATCTCCCCCTTTCAAATCTATCTCTTTGTAAGAAACATTGTGCTTGATGTGATTTGGATATTTAACATTACATCACATGTTACATGTTAGACGCTTTTATCCAAAGCGACTTACATACTCAGTACTGTGGGAAATCCCCACAGGAGCAATTTGGGGTGAAGGGTCTCAGGGACACAACGACATGCTGACTGCAGTGGGGTTTAAACCTGTGACCCCCTGATCCCAACACCAACGCACTAGCCCACTGCGCCACACGCCTCCCATTTAACTAGTTCATATTGGGATACAACTTTGATTAATTGTTCCGCCCTATTTATACCTAAGCAAAAATGATTGTAGTATTCATTAAACAATTTCAAATGGTTAAATACCAAGAAATATAATTGCAATAATAAAAGACACATTTGATTTGAGATGTACACTATCACTGTGTCTGAAAGCAGAATGTGAAAATGTGGAGAAACCTGCAGATCGACATATTGCAACATGGCCAAAACTTCACTCCCCTTAAGCTCAGGCCTCAGCTACTCCCAGTATCACAGAACTGGAAAGTAATAATCTATATATTGCTCTGCCAAGTGTCCTTGAAAACGGTTCAATTGTAACTTAATATGCTGGTAAGGTCGCCCTAATGTGGATCTGGCCTCAGATGTGTAAAGGTTTTGTATTGCTAGCAGATAAGACTGAAGCATTTCAGGCACTGGCCTTGAATTGGCTCACGCGAACACAAAGAGAAGCTACTGTTCTGGCCGTAAACCAGACAGGAGATTGTGCAGAAAGCAAAAGGCCTTCAAACTGATAGCCTTGAAAAGGTGGGTAGTAGTTTGACTGATGGCCCAGAGAGACAAAGACAGCTGGGTAAAAAGGACACTTAGATAACCTGATGGATGGAAGCCACTATAATGATGAATGCTCTCCTGGTGTTAAACAATGGAGTACACTATGTCTAACACCACCTAATTCTTTCACACACACATACGGGTTTTGGGCCGAGGGCGACACCGTAATTCCGGTATCCGCCATTTAACGCGAGGTGCAAGCAGAATATCATAGTCTATTGCCTTAATCAATATAGTCAACTCTAAAATACTACATATATGCAATGGCATGATAATATTATTGTGACAAGTGGGGTATTCACCTGGTGTTTCCAGAAGATAGACGTAGATGCTGCCAAAATCGACCGAAGGCCACTTTCGAGGATCGTTTTTCCATACATCTGCAGGCAGTCTGTAAGGGCAATCCGATAACCCACACAGCTCTAGTTTACGTTGGTCACGACCTAGAGCACACCCCTCAAGTTGTAAAGATGTAATCCGAAGACATGCAGCGATTTCTTCGGTCGTTAATTCGGAAAAAAAACCTAGTGCGCTCTGCCTGGTACGTTAGCTAGCTGTTTATATTAGCACCTCCAGGATTTTTGCACCTCCAGAAAAATGGCGTATTTATATATATATATATGGCGCGCGTTGCATTGTGGGTAGCTCGTGACGTCACTGTGTGTGAAAGAATAGCATCCACTAAATGGTTCCTCACATTCAGTGGACACAAAACGTCCCTCTTGAACGTTAATCAGACTCACATTACAACAAATCCCCTCCTTATTAATATGAATTGATCTGGTTTTTGCAGATGTTTTATGAGGAAGATACCTGTACAGGTGGACAACCCGTCTCTTGTTTTGTCGAGGAATACTTAATTTGGGCACCTTTAATGCAATTTTAATATTTACCGGAGCGGAGCTCGCTTTAAGCGTGCCGTGCCCGTCCCGTTTTCTGTTGCGTTTCCACTAGGCGTAGTTCCGGCTAGCGGGTACTATTTCACAGTTATTCTGGCCCCATAAAATCGAGGTTCTTTCCGGGCCAACAACCAGGCTGAGTCGGGCTGAGTATGATAAACTAGCAAGGGGGCTACAACTACAACAAGATGAACATATTTGACCGTGATTTAATTGTAATACACGTTTCAAAATGATGCCGAAGTAACAACATACTGATACCGGTTAGTAAAAACCATGAATTAATGCTTTGACAAGTCTGCAGACAGACGGCAGGCGAAAACCTTTTAAAATGTGTGTTTTCTGAATGGAGATTGGCTAAGCTAACGCGGTATATGCTCCGACCGTCCACACTCACAACGGCCTATACAGACATAAATAAACCAGCGACTGTATTCGCCATGACACAGACAGTCTGTGGTTTGTACTTGTTTAACTTTTGTCAAGTTTCTGAACAGATATGAGGAGCTGTGAGCTTGAGTGCTAACAGCTAACGGCTAACAGTTGATGTTGTTTTTCTGTGGTTCTCATTGAAGATGACGTCACGACTCCGCCTACACTGCGTTACTATAGTTACTGCCCCAGCTACTAAACTGTAATGGAAACGCAGCATAAAGTGAGCCAGTCC